ATGTTGCCCAGGCTACACTTCAAGTTCTGGACTAAGGGAATCCTCCAGCCTCAGCTTTTCAAGTAGTGTGACTACAGGTGTGTGCCACCATGCCCAGCTACTCCATGTAGTTTTAATTTTCATTTCTGTTGCTATGAATGAGGGTGACCATCTATTCAGATGGGTAAGGGCCATTTTCATGTCTTTATTTGTGAGCTGTATGTTCAAAGCTCTTGTGTATTTTTCTTTTTCTTTTTTTTTTAAGACAGACTCTCTCTTTGTTGCCCAGGCTAAAGTGAGTGCCGTGGCGTCAGCCTAGCTCACAGCAACTTCAAACTCCTGGGCTCAAGCAATCCTACTGCCTCAGCCTCCCGAGTAGCTGTGACTACAGGCATGCGCCACCATGCGTGGATAATTTTTTCTATATATATTAGTTGGCCAATTAATTTCTTTCTATTTATAGTAGAGACAGGGTCTCGCTCTTGCTCAGGCTGGTTTCGAACTCCTGACCTCGAGCATTCTGCCCCCCTCGGCCTCCCAGAGTGCTAGGATTACAGGCATAAACCACCACGCCCAGCCAAAGCTTTTGTGTATTTTTCTAAGCTTACAGATTCTTTATGATGTATGGCTATTAACCCTTTATTGCAAAAAAAAAATTTTTTTTTTTGCAACAGGATTTTGCTGTCACCCTGGGTAGAATGCAGCGGCATCATCATAGCTCACTGCAACCTCAAACCTATGGGCATAAGCAATCCTCTTGCCTCAGCCTCCCGAGTAGCTGGGACTATTGGTGGACACCACAATGCCTGGCTAATTTTCCTATTTTTAGTAGAGACAGGGTCTCGCTATTGCTCAAGCTGCTCTCAAACTTCTGACCTGAAGGAATCCTCCTGCCTCAGCCTCCCAGAGTACTAGGATTAGGTGAGCCACCTCACCTAGCCATCTACTCTTTCTTTAAGATATGGATCAACAACCAAATTCTAAGTTGTATGTCTGTCTTGTTGGCACTATAGTCCCAGCACTGAGCATAGGCCTAACACAGAGTTATTGAATAAATTTGCTAACATTATATGTAATTATAACATAATATTTACATACTGCTTTGTATTCTGAATGACTAAATATTTTGTTCCCCTGTTAGAAGGGCACAGACGATTCCTCACTGTATATCTCACAGTTTCTTTGTTTGCATATATCAGATCAGTAGTGAGTTCTTTATTATTACTGTGTATTATTCCATTTTAAAAGTACTACAATTTGCTTATCTAATAATGGGCATATAGATTGTTTCTGGTTTAGGGGCTATTATAAATTAAAGCTATTAACTTTTTTTTCTATGAACGTTTTTTAAAAATAAAGACAGGATCTCACTCTGTTACCCAGGCTGGAACTCTTGGTTTCAAGTGATTCTCCAGCCTCAGCCTCCTGACTAGCTGGGATTACAGGCATGAGCCACATGCCTAGCTAATTTTAAATTTTTTGTAGAGGCGGGCGGGGTGGTCCTCACTATATTGCCAGGCTGGTCTTGAACTCCTGCCCTCAAATGATCCTCCAGCCTCTGTATCCCAAAGTGCTGGGATTACAGGCATGAGCCATCATACTTGGCAGTATCAAGTCTTTTACCCATTTTTAAATTGGGTGAATATTGATATATATGGTTATATATTATGGATACAAGACCTTTGTGAGATAGTCTCTCTGTCCCTACGGAATCTTTAATTAGTTAATGCTCAATTAGTGAAGATCATTTATTGCAATGGGACCAAAGACTGGAATCTAGGATTATCATTCAGACAATTTAAGGATTTAGGTCTTTTAAAAGATGTACTTGTGCAAAGGAAAATGCACTTCTCATATCAAAGCTAAAAGTGAATCATAAAATAATACACTGGAGGGTTGAAAGACTATATAAACCAACCACAAAAGTGGAAGTTGTGTCCATTTATATACCAATTTACCTCTCCTATTTATTAATAAGTTAGAGACCATAGCTGGAGAAGAAAAATAAAAGCTGTCAGGAGTTAGCAGTTGATATCAGGATTAACAATTTTATTATGGCTGTCTAAACCCAGGATAAAAAGGCTTGAGAACAAACCCTAAAACATATACTGGAGTTAACCTTAAATGTATCTTTCTATTCCTCCCATCCAGGAATAACGCTTGGACCCAGATATCTGGCCATTCCAAGACCTTGAAGGGACACTGGGTCACATCCAGGGTTCGCTTCCTTCCACCGCCCGCTATCGCCTTCCTTCGGATGGCTGATCGAGGACATCTCAAACTGTACTAGACGGCGATTGGCTATTGCCAGGCCAGGGAGTCCGCGGACTCGGAGGAGAATGAGGTCGGGCAAAGGAGTCCAGGTCAGTATGTACGGTACCTACCTACCGAGATGCCTCACTCCCGCCGCCAGGCTCGAACCGTCAGCTGTAGACCCCAGCGCACTGCCCGACCCAAGGGGCTCAAGGTCCATTCTCGCTCACATACACCCGCGCGCGTCGCCGCTAGCCTACTCAGGGCCGGGTCACCGCGCACCTCCGCCACCGCTTTCTCCCCACGCGCTGGTAGAGTCAGCACCACCCTGCGGCCCAAGGCGCAGAAAGGCGACCAAATCTCTTTACCTGGACGACCCTGCTGGCAGACGCCATCTTGCTGCCCATCATGACCCCCGTGAAGGGGCGGCTTCCGGGGCGCAAGGGAGCCGCGGTGATAGCGGGAGCCGAGGGCAGCTGGGGCGGGACCTCCCTGGACGTCACGGGACGCGCGCCTGGGCTCGCGCTGGGTCCGCCGGTCCGGCTCGCCCCACCCTGCGTCGGCCCGCCCGCCCTCTTCGCCGGGGAGCTGTCGCACGTGCCTCCCATTGTTTGGTTTTGCTTACGAAGGTTTGCGATGTTGGGTTTGTTTTGCTCATCAGCCTGTGTTGTCTAGGGCTATTTCTTTTCCAGGCAGCCAGTGTCTAATTTCGGCATAGTTCAACATTTTATCTGAAACCAAGTAAGTAACACATGTCCTGTAGCTTCTTAAAATGAACAAGCATGTTAAAACTTGGGAGCTAGCAGCAACCTCAGAAACAACAGTTAATTCTTCTTTAATAAGGGTCAGCAAGATTTGCTTGCTGGTTGGCATTGCTTGATTTCAGTTTCTGTTTTCTCTACTATTCATTTACTCCCGATATTGAACTGCTTCTGCTTCAAGTTTGAGAGAACTAAAAATTCAGACGTAGCCTGCCTTATCATTGGCTTACTTAACCCTGCCTTATCATTGCTCCACATTAAATCCTGTGGTGTTAATGCTTATGTTGTTATAATTTTTTCTTTTATTTTTGTTACCTTGAGACTCCTCAGTGCTTTAACGTTATAATTTTTTTTTTTTGAGACAGAGTCTCACTTTGTTGCCCAGGCTACAGTGAGTGCCGTGGCATCAGCCTAGCTCACAGCAACCTCAGACTCCTGGGCTCAAGCAATCCTCCTGCCTCAGCCTCCCGAGTAGCTGGGACTACAGGCATGCGCCACCATGCCTGGCTAATTTTTTCTATATATATATTAGTTGGCCAATTAATTTTTTTCTATTTATAGTAGAGACGGATCTTGCTCTTGCTCAGGCTGGTTTCAAACTCCTGACCTTGAGCAATCCTCCCGCCTTGGCCTCCCAGAGTGCTAGGATTACAGGTGTGAGCCACCGTGCCGGGCCTAACGTTATAATTTTTAATACACAACATGTGACCACTTAACATAACTTTTAGGTAATATAGCCTTAAGTTATGGTAAATATTTAGAGTGACCATTGTTTTGATGATATAGGTCAGTGGTTTCTAAATCTGGGGAGCTTTTTAGAAATATTTACTGAGCCCAAATATGGGCTATTCTGATTCTGTTATGTTTGTATGTAGAAAAGCCCATAAACCTGTTTTTGAAAAGCTTTCAAAACTTGTTTTAGTAGCACATATTCTAAAATTAGACTGATAAAGTGATTAGATAGACAAAGGATATTAATATACAGTTCCCAGAAAAAGAAATACAAATGGCCCTTAAAAGTATTTAAAAACACTCAACCTTACTCATTCTTTCTTTTTTTTTTTTAAACAGGGCCTTGTTCTATCACCCAGGCTAGAGTGCAGTGGTATCATCATAGCTGCATAGCTCACTGCAACCTCAAACTCTTGGGTGCAAGGGATCCTCCTGCCTCAGTCTCCCGAGGAGCTGGGACTACAGGCAGCTCCACAAAGCCTGTTTTTACCAAATGGATTGCCTTGCTAATTTTTACATTTTTTGTAGAGATGGGTCTTGCTTTTGTTCAGGCTGGTCTCGAACTCTTGTCAACCTTACTCATTCAAAGAAAAATTTACACTGAAACAGTATTTTCATCCATCAAATTGGCAAACATGTGACTTGGAAAACACACTCTGGGGAGACTGGGGATAGAGGCACTCACCTACATTGTTAGTGGGAGGAAAAGATGGTACAACCTCTACGGAGGGCAATTTGGTAATTTTAAAATGGAAAATTACTGATTTATCTTTTCACCTAGGATTTATACTTCTGGGAAGTTATCTTACAGGTGTACCTGCCCATATTGGAAATTGTGAAGATAAAAGATTATCTATCGAAACATTCTTTTTGTTAGCAAAAACTTGGAGATTTTAAGTGTTCATAAAGAGAATTGGCTAAAACACTATAGTATATCCCCACAATGTGATACTATGTAACTATTAACAAGAAAGAAAGAATGAGGAAGCTCTCTATATAATGGAAAACTCCTGGATATAGGTTAAGTGAAAAAAGCAAGGTGCAGGAGTATGTATAGTGTATATAGTGTGTGTATATAATATGCTACCTTTTGTATAAGAAAGGGATAAAAATAAGGGAGCTTATTTGTGTTGTATTTACGTAAGGAACCAGGATACTCAAGTGTGATAGAGTGTTAACCAAATATTGCCAGCCTCAACTGAAATTAGGTTGTGAAATCACTGGACTAGTTCTTACCAATGGATCCTGACCATAAATGACACATGTAACTTTCAGACTGAGGTAGTTAAGAGCCATGGCCTTCTCTGTACCCTGTTGCCGTGATCTGGGGGCTGTGAGATCCAGATGGTGAAGCTTCAAGATGGAATGGACTTGCAGATCCACGTATGATTTTGCATAAATAAGAAACATTTATTATGCTAAACTGAAGTTTTTTGGGGGGGGGTGTTGCAGCAGCTATGGTTAATTATCCTAATGTAGAAATTAGTATGCAGGCGAGAAGCTACTACATCAGAAACCTAGAATATATCACATTGGTTTTGTGGTGAGGCAGTGAGTGAAAGGAAACTATTAATATTATCAGAGGCTTGAAAAACGGTGATCATTTCATTTGGTAAAACCATCTGTTGTGGTAACTTGGAGAAAAATCATGTGTATACTAGTTTAGCAGCTGTAGGATAAGAGGATGAAAAGGAGAATATTATGATGGCTGTGTTTGCAAACTCATTACTAAAGAGATAAATTTAGGAAAGAATTGGCCATTTTGCAAGCAGACATAAAAGGGAATAGATTGCATTCAGAAATTCAGGAACTTGCACATGTGATCAGCTGACTGCTTCTTAACCCCAAAATGTAAGAGATAAGTTTTTTCAATTTAGAATTTTTTTGAGAAAATTGTAGATTCACATGCAATTGTAAAAATAGAAATTGATGGGCATGGTGGCACACACCTGTAGTCCAGCTACTTGGGAGGCTAAGGTGGGAGGATCACTTGAGCCCAGGAGTTCTGGGCTGTAGTACGCTATGCCAGTTGGGTGTCTACACTAGGTTTGGCATCAATATAGTGACCTCTTGGGAGCAGGGAACCACCAGGTTGGAAACAGAGCAGGTCAGAATTCCTGTGCTGATGAGTAGTAGATTACACCTGTGATTCCACTGGAGCTAAGGCACTCCAGCCTGAGCAACATAGTGTGACCCTGTCTCTTTAAAAAAGAAAGGAAAAAATAGAAATTTCCTGGATCTCTTCTCCCAATTTTGTTACAGGAAAGTGGTTCCCAATACTGGTATCCACTGGAGTCCAATTAGGTCCTTGGCTTCGTGTGAGAAAGAATCTTCCCGCCTCAGCCACCTAGAGTGCTAGGACTACAGGCATGAGCCACCAATGCCACCCTTCTTTTGGCTTTTTTATTTAAATGATAGTTTAATTATAGCCTAAGTAGGGGAGGAATATTCATGTTATTTCCTGGAAAGGGGCAGTGATTTCCTAGAACTTGGAACTCTCCCTTTCCTTTATTATAAGGTCCCTCCTAAGAACTGTCATGGTGTTGGTGGGAGTTTCTTTTAGCATGCTATATTATAACTAGGGTATAACGAGCTGCAAGGTCAAGCAGCAGCCAGTTTCCTTGCCATCTTGGTTTCCATTGGCCTTGTTCTATCATCAGATCCTGTTTTTGATCAGGGTGGTTAGGGGCTTTTGATTCTATGTTAAGCAGTGTCTGCCAATTCCCTGTCTTATAATAGTTTCAGTAGTAACATCTTGCAAAACTTTAGTACAGTGTCACAACCAGGATATTGGCATTGATGCATTTAAGATACAGAACATTTCCAACACCACAAGGATCCCTTCTTTTGCCTTTTATAGCTACACCCACTTGCCTCCCACCCCCACGACACTCTTAGCTCTGGCAATCACTAATCTGTTCTCCATTTCAATAATTTTGTCATTTCAAAGATAAGTGACACCATACAATGATGTAACCTTGGGACTGGCTTTTTTACTCAGCATAATTTCCTGGAGATTTATCCAGTCTGTAGCATGTATCAATACTTTGTTCCTTTTTATTGCTGAGCAGTATGATACAGATGCACAGTTTTAAACATTTACCATTGAAGGACATCTGTGTTGTTTCAAGTATGGGCTGTTACAAATAAAGTTGCCATAAACATTCATGTAGAAGTGTAAACACAGTATTTATTTCTCTAGGGTAAATGCCCAGGAGTACAATTCTGAGGGCATATGGTAGTTACATGTTTTGTTTTTAAAGAAACTACTAAATTCTTTTTTTCAGAGTGGTTGTACTGTTTTATATTCCCACTGGCAATGTATGAGTGGTCTAATTTCTCCACAGTCTCACCAGCATTTTGTATTGTCATTTTAGCCATTCTAATAGGTGTGGTGATAGCTCATTGCAATTTTAATTTGCATTTCCCTAATGGCTAATGGAATTGAATATCTTCATGTTTATTTTATGATGTTCCATTATTTCTGTGTGTGTTTGTGTTCCCCTATTTCATCTGCTTATTTGCTTATCAGTAAGTTCCATTAGCAGCCAATTCCATTAGCCTCTTATGAACTGGTCACCCAACCCCCTTTTTCATATGCCTGAATCACTGACCAAGACATCACTCTCCACCACAATATTTTCTTAAACTATCACCAGGCAAAGTTCCAGCAATTGGCATGCCACCCTGTGCCAGCAACTATTTGTACCCCATACATTTCCTGGGATGGGGTCAGAAACCAGATAGACTCATGTGTTTTAAAGCTCAAACACTGCAGCAGCTTAGTACAGTCTTTCATTTACATATGGAAAAATGGCAAGTTTCCTATATGAAAATCTATTAACATATCTAATCTATAAGGTTAGATTTCTTCTTTATAAGATTAGATTCTTATTCTGAAGTCATTTAAAAGACACAATTAGACTTTCTTGGCTAATTTCTAACTTTTTTTTTGAGACAGAGTCTCACTCTGTTGCCTGGGCTAGCGTGCTATGGCTTCAGCCTAGCTCACAGCAACCCAAACTCCTGGGCTCAGGTGATCCTCCTTTCTCAGCCTCCCAAGTAGTTGGGACTACAGGCATGTGCCACTATGTCCGGCTAATTTTTTCTATATTTTAAGTTGTCCGGCTAATTTCTTTTGATTTTTTAGTAGAGATGGGGTCTTGTTCTTGCTCAGACTGGTCTCAAATTCCTGAGCTCAATCGATCCGCTTGCATTGGCCTCCCAGAGTGCTAGGATTACAGGCATGAGCCACCGTGCCTGGCTGCTACTTTATAAATAAACATTTTTCACTTTTATTTATGACTATATTACAGAGATGAAGAAAGTGATTCAAAGAAGTCCTATGACTTAGAGCTTTTAAGATAAACTTTCCAAGTCCTCTAATACCAAGAAGTCTCCTGGGATTACCTAATGATAATGTCAGAGCGTGTCAAATGCAGTGCAAATTTCTGGTCATATTGGTATGGATTTTTTTGGGGGGGGAGTCTGACAAGAAAATGCTCTGGCTCTTCTCTGCTTGTGGGTTTATGTCTACATATCAGCATTCTACTTCCACCGAATTCTCATCCAGGCCCATCTGAATCTCTTCAGGATGACGATGATAAAAGTTGCTGAACCTAAGTTAGCAAACTGCCTCAATCCCTAAATTATCTTGATTTCCAGCTCCTCATCTATGGTCAGCCTCCTGCCTGTCATCAAATCATTTGATTACTCACCCCTCTCAGGTCTCCTGACTTCTGTCCACATCCTCAATGATTATTTGGCTGTTTTCATGGACATGGAGCATGCTACTGATTCTACCTCTTGTATTGTATCCTTTTCATGTTCTTCTCTTACCTAGTTTTTGACCCCTTTCCACACTTCTTGTTCCATGCACACTGTTCCTGACATTGGCTGTAAATCTATTAGGCTGACTCAGCATCGGCAATATAAAGCACCCAGTCCGACTTGTGAATTTTCTTGATAAAAAATTTAGAACTACATTTAATAAAGCATTTAGATCTAACTTCTACTTTACAGGAATATACAGAGATGAAACAAACTACATAAACTACTAGGAAACAATCAAACATCAGATAGAGTACATTCTACAGGGTAACTAGATACTTCAAGTCAATGACTTATAAAAAAAATGAGGGGGGCCATATGGTCTCTCTTGCAAGCTACTCAGTTCCATTCAATTATGCTATGGTAGCAGACAATATGTAAACATAAGGACATGAGGCCGGGGCGGGCGGATTGCTCGAGGTCAGGAGTTCGAAACCAGCCTGAGCAAGAGTGAGACCCCCATCTTTACTATAAATAGAAAGAAATTAATTGGCCAACTAATATATATAGAAAAAATCAGCCGGGCATGGTGGTGCAATGCCTGTAGTCCCAGCTACTCGGGAGGCTGAGGCAGCAGGATTGCTTGAGCCCAGGAGTTTGAGGTTGCTGTGAGCTAGGCTGATGCCACGGCACTCACTCTAGCCAGGGCAACAAAGTGAGACTCTGTCTCAAAAAATAAATAAATAAAAGAGCCATTTTGCCTACCCCATACAGATGAAACAACCAAAACCACTCTCATGACAGAAAACATTTTTAAGAAAAATATGTTAACAAAACCACCACTAGCCAGATTTTAAAAGACTGTAACTATTCAAGATGTAAAAAGATCTTCAGGTCCCCAGTTTGAGAAAGCTGCTCAGAAGGGCATACTCTCTAATGCCCTCTTCAGAGATATGGCCAAGGTGGATAATGAAAAGAGAACATCCCGAAGGGCAGAGTGAAACCATGAATGAAGTGCTTCCAGAAAGCAGTACAACAGCCTGATCAGGAGGCATTCCCTATCCGCTAGGAAGGGGAACTTCCTATCATTTGCCAAGTCATATTTAAGAGTTGCTACAGACCTGTTCCACTGCAGTATGCTAGATGTGTGAGGTATCATAACTTGTCTTTTCAGACCATAAGTCTCCAGATCAAGAAGAGCCACATCTGGACCTGATAAGAAAGACTATCATGAGATCCTGAATTTTGAAATAATGTCATAATTGAGTGACACTGTTATCTTCCTTGGGAAGGGGCAAGTGTCCTTTATATGCAGAAGGGAAGTTAATATTTATGCCCAAAATAGCTAACTGTGGTAGACTGTGTTCTTTCCTGACTCTGAACCCCAGTACTCTCCTGCTATAAGGAGAAATATACTTTCCTGCCTCAATGATGTTTGGCTTGGTTAATGTGTACCTTTTTCAAGCAGAAACTCTGTGCTTGTATATAATTTGACATGGCTCTGTAAGCACCTGCCCTCTGCCATGAGAATGTATTTCAGATAGTGGCTATTCCCTCAACTAAGTCCTAGAATGATCAATGGAACTGCAGACCCAAGACAGAAATAAATGGTTGTTATAAGCTACTGTTACTTGAGGTTATTATTCAGCATGATTGCAAGAAAAGCTGACTAAAACAATTTCTCTGTCAGAATTATGCTTTAAGAAGGAACTCACAGAATAATAAATTCCCAGGAAAATGCAGAGTTTTTCAGATGATGTTGATAATCCATTGGGTTGGGGTTCACTCTATGACTTAATTTAATGCTGTGGGGTCAGATTTTCTAAAATGATGTTTTTCCTAAGAAAAATATTACTTGCTTTACAACTATTTATGTAGAAAAAGGCCAAGAATACACTGTGGCAAAAAGAATTAAACTATACATAAATTACGATTTTTTGACACAAATGAAGTAAAACAATAAATATTCCAAAGAAAAAGTGTTCAAAATTCAGCTTTAGGAAAATCTTTATATTTCTGTTATAAATCTAAAGAACAGATTTCAAATGCTGTTATCCACTGCAGTGCATCTTCTCAAGTTTAAAGTCCCTCTAAAAAGAATGTTGAAAACACTACATTATCTGTAAAAAAGATCAATAGCTCCAAATTAATAAAGTGTTCAAATTAAGAGTTTTCCAAAACCAGAATGGCATGCTATATAAAAGGTGGCAAGTTCTATTATAATTAATAAGACAGAGTAACACTTATTCCTTTTATTTCTTAACTTATAAAACTAATGCAAAAAAAATAGTGATGCACAAAAACATAGAAAAAGAAAAAGGTCATTCCCAATCCCACTACAAATAACCCTTTGGATATACTTTTCTAAAATTATGGTTGATAAACAAATGTACAGAGTGTTCCAGTAAAAAGTTGAGACTGCCAGAAATGTAGAAGAAATGTCCATATTCAATGGAAAGTTGGATCAGATGTCTTTTAGGACCATTTCAAAGCTAAGATTTTCAGATGATTTTAGACTATGCCGGTCACTTTCATTATCATATTTAAAACAATAGATTTCATATTAGAATGATAACTAAAGCTAAAAAATTTTGCAGTTTTAGAATAGTTCCAAAGACACTGAAAATACATTTCACTTGGAATTTGCTATTAAATTACATATTGTAGACAAAAATGAAATATGTCAAAACAGAATTCTTATTAGAGTGTGGTGAGATTCTTCTCAAGCTGCAGAACAGTTTCCTTAAATGCCGAATCTTCAGCCCAATTGACTTTACTTCCCAAAATGAGGTTCTGTAATTTAAAAAATGTTAAAATTTAATTTTTATGTACATTTTAAAAAGTCCTTTTTCACTGATGTTATTGAATATTTGGCATTTACTAGGCATATAGCTCTGTGATCATGAGGGGAAAAAGTAATACATTCTGACCAGGCATGGTGGCTCACATCTGTAATCCTAGCACTTTGGGAGGCTGAGTTCAAGGAGGATTGCTTGAGTTTAGCAGTTTGAGGTTGTAGTGAGCTATGATGATGCCACTGCACTCTACTCAGGGTGACTAAGTGAGGCTCTGTCTCAAAAGTAATACTTTCTTCTGTCTTCATTTCTACTTTTAATGAGGCTTCAGTCTTGATCGCCATAATACCAGGGAATATTTACAACGTTTACAGAAATTTTTATGCTTCATCAGTTCCCATGGATAGGTTTTACTTGTGAAGGATACTTGCAATGCTATCCCTAGATGAGAGAAAAAAGACTGCAGCTGTGGTTCAGTTCATTTTGCACTAATGATAAAAAACAGTAATTTAAGTGTTATATGCCCTATTTTCAAGAGGTATAAGGATAGCTCAGTTCTCAGCCCTTGCAAAGTTAAGACCCTGAAAAAGGTGAAGATTATTTTTGTGGTAAATAATGGAGGAATGATTAGAGTCATTACTAATGAAAATTCTGCTTATTATCCTTCAAAAAACTATGGTTCGATGATACTGAGCTACTGATTGAAATAATGTTAAAACAGATTTTAGAATATGTATTATATTGTTAGGTATAAAAACATTGAGAACTTTGACCTATATAAGGCACATTCTTGCTACAAGTGAATGGAAGGCTAGTGTATATAAATCCAGTCAAATTTGCAAAGGCAGGTGGAAGTAAGCATTCAAACATGCCTGAACTCCTAAGGGCCAATTTTTTACTTATTTATTTTTATTTTTTTGAGACAGAGTCTCACTTTTGTTGCCCAGGCTAGAGTGCCATGGCATCAGCTTAGCGCACGGCAATCTCAAACTCCTGGGCTTAAGAGATTCTACTGCCTCAGCCTCCCGAGTAGCTGGGATTACAGGCATGCACCACCATGCCCAGCTAATTTTATATATATATATATAAAATCTGTTTAGTTGGCCAATTAATTTCTTTCTATTTATAGTAGAGACAGGTCTTGCTCAGGCTGGTTTTGAACTCCTGACCTTAAGCAATTCACCCGCCTCGGCCTCCCAGAGTGCTAGGATTACAGGCATGAGCCACTGCGCCTGGCCCCTAAGGGCCAATCTTAAGAAGAAAGAACACCCATAATGTTGGCCAAAGCTATGTTCCATTTAGCAAAGCAATGAATTCATTAAATCAAAATAATAATTAATAGTAATTTATAAGCTATAAAAGAAAAAATCAAGAAAGGAAGAATAATAGAAGCCTCAAAGCAACATGAACATGTGCCAAGGAAAAGTAAAATGATTCTGTACTCATGATTCAATCTTCCACTTAAAGTTAGCCTCTGGATGTGGTCATTCCTAATCCAATCACCCACTACTACTAAAAAGTAGGTAAAAGACAAAAGGTAAAAGAATGTCTTATAGTTGCAAGATCTCATGTTTTACAAGTCAGCATTTGCTTAATATGTAATAGACAGTATTTAACTATATATCTTACATAACTGAAAACTGGTAATTTTAATATTTCATCTCAACATTCCCAGAGAATTTTACAATTTAAAAATAATAAAATGCCTCCAAAATAAAGGAAGATGTAAATATTTTTTTTTTTTTTTTTGAGACAGAGTCTCACTCTGTCACTGGCTAGAGGGCAGTGAGTGGTGTTATCATACATAACTCACAGCAACCTCAAACTCCTGGGCTCAAGCAATCCTCCTGCCTCAGCTTCCCCAGTAGCTGATGCTACAGGTGCATGCCAAAATGCCTAAGTTTTCTGTTGCTCTTGCTCAGGCTGGTCTCAAACTCCTAACCACAAGTGATCCTCCCACCTTGGCCTCCCAGAGTGCTGCTAGGATTACAGGTGTGAGCCACTGTGCCCAACAGAATATGTAATAGAAAATTGACATGATAATAACTACCAACAATTATTAAGAAGTTACTTGGATCAGACACTATGCTAAACAAATTAACATGGATTATCTTCTTTAGTTCTAACTACTCTTTCTAAACAAGGAAACTGATGCTTAGAAAAATTAAATAATTTACTCAAGGTCAACTTGTAGTCAGGTCTTAACCCTACACTCCCGTCCACATCTCCCTTGACCTCCCAACTTACACTATTCTGCTTCCACAGAGATGCAAAAAAAATCATTCCATTTATACATGCCTAAGGTCTAACCATAAAGGAAGATGTTAAACATTAAATATACATGAATTCCAGATATATGTAAATAGATCAATATTCAGCATTACATTATTTTATCAGGATCAAAGACTAGCTGAAAGTCAGTCAATACTGTAACAGCATTAATCACTTAAAAAGAAGTTCTTTACCTTACTTCCTAATTTAAATCAGTGTTACCTGGAATACATGTTGAATAACTGTAGTAATGTGTATCTCCTTCTGTAGGTTTTGTTGCATGATCTTTATCTTCTCTGAATTTTCCATATTGTCCAAATCATTTTTCTGTTTGTTCTTTTCAGTCTGTATTTCTAAAAGCTTACTTTCTGAAGCTTGTTTTAATTCTATTAGGTTAAAACAAACAGTATACTGTATATGATAACTCTACAAACAAGAATCTTGAAAAATGATGAAGCAGAACATTTCCTGGTTATTTTAGTCACAAGAAATTTTTTAATAAGTAGCACTTTAGTCTGCAGTTTTATTTTGATCTGAAAATGACTTTCCCTGGTGCAAAATAACAATGTTATCAATTATTTTAGTGAAACATTCAAGGTATTTATGTATGAGAATGATAGCTGTCTACAAAATGTTTGAAGTGGCATCATGTAAAAGAGGGCTTTTTTGGGTTGTCAAAAGCATAGGGAATCCTGAATCATGTAAAGGTCAAAAAAAAAAAAAAGCATAGGGAAAAGATACATGTAAATATCAAGAAATACCTTTCCCCTTTAATTACAAAATGACATATAAACCAGATAGATTTTAAATGAAAAGAAAGATTCCCTTTTCTAGGGATAAACATAAACTGTTTTTTATATTTCTTTAAATGGCCTAAGAATTGAGCTATTTGAAAATATAAATGAGTACATTTCAGGGCTTGTTCCCTGACATTAATGGATCAAAAGTAGGTTGGAATGCAATAGTCAAAGTGAAACATCGAAAGGGTGATTAAATGAGATGACCTAAACAACTTCTGACCCTGAGGTTACTTGTAACAGGCAAATCTCTGTAATGTTTAATAAAAAAACCATGCCTGTACTGTCTGTATTACTTTTGAAATAAACGTTTCAATTTAAAAAGCTATCTCGTAGCATCATAAATTAAGTGAAAAGGCTGGAGAACCACATGTATCAATTGATCATTTTCAAATTAGGTATATATAAATCTTTATATGGGCATGGAAAAAGATCTGGAATGATATATATACCAAACTAGTGTATACCAAACATGAAGAAGGCATGCCTTTTGCATTATAATTTTCTGTATCATTTTATTTTCCCCCACTGAGAATATATTAATTTTGTGATATAAAGTGTTAAAACAATGACAATAGGGCAAAATGCATTTCATATCCTACTTTTTTTTTTTTTTTTCTTGAGACAGAGTCTCGCTTTCTTGCCTAGGCTAGAATGAGTGCCGTGGTGTCAGCCTAGCTCACAGCAACCTCAAACTCCTGGGCTCAAGCGATCCTCCTGCCTCAGCCTCCCGAGTAGCTGGGACTACAGGCATGAGCCACCATGCCCGGCTGATTTTTATATTATATATATCAGTTGGCCAATTAATTTCTTTCTATTTTTATGGTAGAGACAGGGTCTCGCTCAGGCTGGTTTCGAACTCCTGACCTTGAGCAATCCGCCCGCCTCGGCCTCCCAGAGTGCTAGGATTACAGGCGTGAGCCACCGCGCCCGGCCCATATCCTACTTTTTAAATTAAAATTTCCAAGATTTTAAGCAATACTGAAAATTAGGAAATTTCTCAGTGGCTAAGAGATCTGGCCTTATCAATCTCCAAAGTAGGTGAAAATGTGTTCTACATACGCAGTCTCTTCTTTCTAACATCAAGCAGTTTTTCCTCTAAATCCCAAGATTCCTGTTATTAAAAAAAAAAATTAAAGCACATACTGTACTTAACAAATCTATAATACTTAAATCACATCTATTAGTTCATGTTTTCTCAAGCTCCAGTTTTCAATTCCTCTCTTTCCATACAATAAAAGGGAAAAGACAGTAGCTTAAATTATAAGTAGATAATTTGCAAAATCAGTCAGAAATAATGTAGTTATGAAAAAAAGAGAAAACTTTAAGACAGTGAATTCTAGTTATGCCAGTCACTTTGGACAATTCTATTTAATCATATACAATATAGTTTCCAACAAGAAGTTGTTACTGAAATCATGAGAATACATATGCAGCCTAATATGCAAGTTTACCTGCTGTGATTTCATTATTAACTTATTCAGATTTAATATTTGTTTCATGTTATCCATGAGCACACTGGAAAGGAAACAAAAATATGATTCATTAAGGTTATTTAGCAACCTCAGTTAAAAGTAATAACTCATCATTGCTGTGAGCTAGGCTGACACCATGGCACTCACTTTAGCCTGGGCAACAAATCGAGACTCTGTCTCAAAAAATAATAATAATAATAACTCATCAATGAAACGATCAATTAGTACAAATTTACTTTCATTAAATCCACTGTATACTTCAGTAGAAAGTCACTTCAGTAGAAAGTCACAAAATATATCCGGAAAAGTTTGATGTAAACTAAATTTCTGTTAAAATTAGAAATATATTTCCCTAGAAAAATATTTGGTCACAATGAAAAATATCAAATTAAAGAATGTGAAAAATAAAAAAGAATGTAAGAACATTTTTTAAAATTTCATATTTTGGCCGGGCACAGTGACTTACACTTACAATCCTAGCACTCTGGGAGGCCAAGGCCGGAGGATCGCTTGAGGTTAGGAGTTCAAGACCAGCTTGAGCAAGAGTGAGACCCCCATCTCTACTAAAAACAGAAAAATTAGCTGGGCATGGTGGCATGCATTTGTAGTCCCAGGTACTCAGGATGCTGAGGAAGAATGATCATTGGAGCCCAGGAGTTTGAGGGTGCTGTGAGCTAGGCTGATGCCATGGCACTCTAGCAGGGACAACAGAATGAGATTGTCTTAAAAACTAAAAAAAAAAAAAAAAAAAAATTCATATTTAGGGAAGAAAAATCTAATAACTTGATAACTGGCTGCTTTTTTAAAAATTGATTTTATTTTTAGAACAATTTTACATTCATAGCAAAATTGAACAGAAGATACAGAGATTTCCCATGTTACATGCCTCTTCATAGCCTCCACCATTATCAACAACCTCCAGCAGAGTGGGGGATTTTTTTTTTTATTTAAACAATACATGAACCTATACTGACACCCCATTACTACACAAAGTCCATAGTTTACATTAGAGTTCACCCTTGGTTGTGTATATTCTATGGGTTTGGACAAATGTATAATGACATTATAGTAGCATATAGGAGGGAACATATTAGAATATGGAATAGGATCTTTCTTCAAAATGTATTTCTGAGCACTTGTTATGTGCCAAGAACTATGCCAGCCACCAGGAATGTTAAATAGAATAAAACACAGTACATACTTATTTTCAAAAAGGAAAGAATCTGGGGGCAGAGAAAAGTAAATCCACAACTATATTAAAGTACAGTAACAAATATGAACCAGGTTATGCACAGGGCGAAACAAGAAAAACCTTTGAGTCCTTTTTTTTTTTTTGAGACAGGATCTCACTCTGCTGCTCAGGCTAGAGTGCAGTGCCTAATCATAGCTCACTGCAGCTTTGAATTCCAGAGCTCAGATTGTCCTGCTTTCACCTCCTGAATAGCTGGGACTATCTATAGGTGCATGCCACTACACGCACCTATACACGTGGCTAATTTTTTTTTTGTAGAGACAAGGTCTTACTATGTTTCTCAGGCTGATCTAGAACTCCTGGCCTCAAGCAATCCTCCCTCCTCAGTCTCTCAAAGTGCTGGGATTACAGGCATGAACCATTGCGCCTGGCCAAAAACCCTTGAGTCTTAAAGGATGTGAAGTAATTACCTAGATCAGCAGTCTCCAACTTTTTTGGTACCAGGGACTGGATTCATGGAGGACAATTTTTCCACAGGACTGGGGGCGAGGGGCTGACACCTCAGGCAGTGATGCCAGCGGAGGGTAGCAGCCATAAATACAGATGAAGCTTCACTCACTCGCCCACCAGTTACCTGCTGTGAGGCCCATTTCCTAAGTTTCAAGGAAAACAATTGTTCCATAGACAACGGGGGTGGGGAGGTGAGGCAGAGCTCAGACAGTGAGGGAGGGTGTGTTCCTAACAGGCCACAGTCTGGGGGTTGGGTACCGAAGACCTAGATAAGGTAATCTGGTATGGCTGGAACAAAAGGGCATGGAATATGACTGGACAAAGCAGTGGCTCTCATACTTCACAGTGCCATAGTCACTTGGGAGGCTCGTTAACACATTAACTGCCACGTGAGTTGTATTTAACTCACGTCAGTTTTGAGCCCAGGGCCTCGTGAAGCACATGTAACTTACATGTCTCTTTACCTTGGCAGCCATGGTATGCCATAGGCAACTCACACTGCCATGCTGTAACATACATGTTATGTGATGGGTGACCCCCTAGGCAAAACCCTCCTGCAGTTGGTTCTGTGAAAATATTACTTGTTGATGTTCTTATTGTTACAATTAATATTAACAATTTAATTGCATATAACCTACGTGTAGAAAACAATAAAAAATAAAATTTTCATTAAATTAGAAAGGATTGTTTTGTTTTTGAAGTTTTTTTTTTTTTTTGAGACAGAGTCTTACTGTGTTGCCCAGGCTAGAGTGAGTGCCGTGGCGTCAACCTAGCTCACAGCAACCTCAAACTCCTGGGCTCAAGCAATCCTACTGCCTCAGCCTCCCGAGTAGCTGGGACTACAGGCACGTGCCACCATGCCCGGCTAATTTTTTTATATATATATATATTAGTTGGCCAATTAATTTCTTTCTATTTTTTATAGTAGAGACGGGGTCTCGCTCAGGCTGGTTTTGAACTCCTGACCTTGAGCAATCCGCCCACCTCGGCCTCCCAGAGTGCTAGGATTATAAGCGTGAGCCACCGCGCCCAGCCTGTTTTTGAAGTTTTTATCCTATTTTCGTAATAAAACACTGTGGCCCTAAGGAAAAAAATTTTTTTTCTAGTGCGGCAGTCAATTTGTTAAATATGGATTCCTAGCCTCTCACCTTCAAAGATTCTGATTCAGAAGATTGGGACAGGACCAGCAATGTGATCACTGTAATAATACCAATTATTCTGATGATTAACCAGGCGTGAAAAACATCATAGAAGGAACTTATTGGGAAGACCCAAAAGGGGACTCTTTCCACAGACTTGGGAGAACTGAATTCATTTTTCTACTAGTTACAGCTATATTTGGTTGAATTAAAAGATAAATTTAGACTCTAAAATGTAACAAGGTTTTTTGCACAGACAGTGATTCCACGTGTCAGGCAACAACAGACTGCAAGCAGTTCAATGCTCCACTGCAGGAGGCAAGAGAGGAAACTTTTTAAAATAAAGTGTTCACAGAAGCAAGACAAAGAAAATATATTTGGTTGGTTAAAGTGCAAAAGCTCCCAGTTAGAAGTTAGTTGGCAGTTCCTGAATGGTTAAGCTTAAATTTTGTTTTACTGTTTGTATCAGGCTTACATAGGAATACAAGGCACTGGAGCCAGCTCAGCCTAATAGCGTCCCAATTAAATTTTTGAATAACACTTGTAAATTTTAAAACATGCTAGGCACTGCTTCGGCCTATTTGACCTTTCTGCTATCCTTGGGTATCATTGTGATGAATCTGTCCTGCACCCCATCCCTTTAACTCAAGAATGTTTTTAAGTTTAAGTTCTCCTTTTATGAGGGAGCAATATTTATAAGTACCTGTATTCAGATTTTAGCATTTATGTAATCCTGGAGTTAGGTGGGGTGTGAGAAGAATGCATATCAATCTGGCTAAAATACCCAGATAGAAGTACCCAGATATACCTTAGAACTTTTCTGGTGCTAATGGGAAGGGGCTATTTTATCATAGGATTTCTAGAGTTTGGGGAGATAAGATTGCTGGTAAGGCCCCTAAGGCCAGATACTTAGGTACCAGGTTATAGAGGACCCGACTACCACAGTCTTTCTTTTATATTCGCTGGCAAATTGTTTAATCTGAACAAACTCATTTCTACCAATGAAAAATGAAGACTATACCTCTTAATCTCATTGGGTTGCTTTTGGATAAAATGAGGTAACATTGTTCCTGGTTTACAGTAAACACCAAATAATAGTTAACTTTCAGAATCTTCCTTTAAAATTTTCTCATCTTCTGTACAAAACCTCCTGCTTCTTACAGTTACAATCCATATGGAACAAGATGTCAACAGGACTATAAAAGCTGTTATAATTTTGGGAAGAGCCTATAAAAATTTCATCACTTTTCTTATTCTCCAGATGAAGGTGGTTGGCATTAACAGTTAACTTAAAAAAATTTATGAAACTTCAAAGGTAACATTTATAACTAGAGCCACTAAAAAGAAGAAAAATATATAATTAAGTAAAATTTTAAAAAATTTTATGAAACTAAAGTCATTATACAGATCTCCTTTCTTTTTTTTCTGAGACAGAGTCTCACTCTGTTGCCTTGGCTAGAGTGCTGTGGCGTCAGCCTAGCTCATAGCAACCTCAAACTCCTGGGCTCAAGCAATCCTCCTACCTCAGCCTCCCAAGTAGCTGGGACTACAGGCATGCGCCACCATGCCTGGCTAATTTTTTAATATATATTTTTAGTTGGCCAATTAATTTCTTTCTATTTTTAGTAGAGACGGGGTCTTGCTCTTGATCAAGCTGGTTTCGAACTCCTGACCTTGAGCAATCCTCCCACCTCGGCCTCCCAAAGTGCTAGGATTACAGACATGAGCCACCGTGACCGGCCCAGATCTCCTTTCTTATTCTCATCCTAACCAAATCTTGGGGAAAAATATCATACCTAGTCTTGATGTTAATTTTCTCCAAGTGTTTTTTAAGTGCAGTTGAAAGCTGCATCCTATGAGAGGGAAAAGCTTGCATTATAAAACATGGATAACATTTATGGTACATTAAAAAGAATTTTAAACATGACAAGTTAAAGATTGATTTCCCTTGAAGTATAACATAAGTATGTTTTTAAACAGTACTGTATGAGAAATACTTTGAGAAATAAATCATAGAAATATGAAGCAACACCAAGATGGATATGACTGTTGCTCATGGTTGTACCCTCACAGGATGAGCTAGCCCGAACTGGGCAAGCTTTCTAAGCCATGCACCTTGATGCAGGGCTAGGGGAAGCATGAAGACACTAAAGAGATCAGCATGGCCTGAATGAAAAGACTTAGGGAATCCAAAGCTATACTTGACTGTAAACTTTAAAGCATCCTGTTATAAATTACTTTAAATTCAAATGGCTAATAAGTAATAATAAAAAGGCAATTAACTCAGCAATAATAGTTATTTCTTCCTTTCTGCCATGTGTAAAAAATTTGATTCATTAAAAGGAAATATAGCTCTAAAGTCAGGTTAATTAAAAAATATGATCAAAATAATGAGTCAGCATATGAGATAAGGGGAAAAAGCTTACCACTAGAAGCAAATAAAACAGCTTTAACTATTCAAATCACATGTCCATAAGAGACAATGTTCGTCTTATTAATAGCTATAAACCAGCACTTAGCACAAGGATTAGAGTATAGTAAATACTCAAATATTTGTTGAATGCATTATAAAATACAAATGTGACACCTATAACTAAAAATATATTTAAATGCAATGATGTTTTTTTTTTCTTTTTTTTGAATTTAAAAATTCTTCTTCTTTTTTTAAAAATTTCCTAGGGTAACCCATTACAAGAGAAGCAATGACGGTTCTTTTACCAGATTAATAGTTACTGGCATAAATAAATCCATGTAATTCTCTCAAACATGAAATGGGATTTAACCTCATACTTCTGTCTTAATTAAAGTTTCCTTAGTAACTCTGTCCTGTGTAACATCTCTCTCTTTTTTTTGTGAGACAGAGTCTTGCTTTGTTGCCCAGGCTAGAGTGAGTGCCATGGCGGCAGCCTAGCTCACAGCAACCTCAGACTCCTGGGCTCAAGCAATCCTTCTGCCTTAGCCTCCCGAGTAGCTGGGACTACAGGCATGCGCCACCATGCCCGGCTAATTTTTTCTATATATATTAGTTGGCCAATTAATTTATTTCTATTTATAGTAGAAAGGGGTCTTGCTCTTGGTCAGGCTGGTTTCGAACTCCTGACCTTGAGCAATCCGCCCACCTCGGCCTCCCAGAGTGCTAGGATTACAGGCGTGAGCCACCGCGCCCCACCTGTAACATCTCTAAATGAAAATATTAATGATTATAGTCTCTGACTTATGATGGTTTGATTTTACTATACGCATTCAGTAGAAACTATACTTTGAGTAGCCATACAACCAGTTTGTTTTTTATTTTCAGGACAGTATTCAATAAATTACATGAGCTACTCAATACTTCATTATAAAATAGCCTTTGTGTGAGATAATTTTGCCCAACTGTAGGCTAATGTTAAGCATCCTAAGTACACTTAAGGCAGGCTAGGCTAAGCTATGATGTTTGGTAGGTTAGGTGCACTTTTTTTCTTTTTTTTCCCCCTATTTTTGTTTTCATTTTTTTCAATTTTTTTCTCGTTTATTTTGTTTCTGGTTAGGTGTATTAAATGCATTTTTGACTTATGATATGTTCAATTTATGATGAGTTTATAGGGACATAATCCCATCATAAGTTGAGGAACATCTGTAATATAACTGTTCTTTCAGGGCTCAAAATTTGAGTGACCATCAATCATCATTTCATTTGACTAATACATTTAGCCTAGTTAAAAAATTCCCTCCACCTTGCCCAGACCCATTTTGCATCCAGTAATTCTTATATTTAAAATGTAATAATTACCTGTCTAATGTAAGATTTTTCATTTCCAAAGTAATTTTTACCCCTTCAATTTCATTTTCCAGGTCTTCAATTTTACTATCAAAGAAGCATGAACAAAAGAATTTCAGCAATATCAGAAAAAAACTTATTGAAATAAATATATAAAAGTAAGCCTTTGAAAACAATTAAAACACATCTAAATAAAAGTATTCTACAAGTGTCTGCATTTCTTCTCAGGCCATTCTGCAACTGTACTGACATATATTTAACACTAGGTAAACATGCCTCCTGAGCTACTCTGCTCAGTGACTTGTAAGGGGGGATGCCAGAAAGTTCTAATGGGATCACTCATATTCGTGTAAGTCTCCATCCCACATCAATGACTTTCCCAATACATGCATGACAAATGATTTGGAAAAATAATAGAAAAGAAAAAGACAATGTTACATTGAAAATATGATTAAATATTAATAAAGACCACAAATAAAATTTAAAAATATGACATACGCTTCGATTTGCTTGTCTTGCATGATTTGTTCTGGAGTTTTTTCTTCATCTACAAATAAATAATTTTTTTAAGTTAGTAACTTTTTTTTTGGAGACAGGTTCTTGCTCTGTCAGCCAGGGTGGGGTGCAGTGGCCCAAACATAGCTAACTGTAACCTCCAACTTCTAGGCTCAACTGATCCTCCTGCCTCAGCCTCCTGAGCAGCTGGGACTACAGGCTACCATGCCAATCTAATTTTTTAAAAAAAATTTTTTGTAGAGACAGGGTCTCACCCAAGCAATTTGCCCACCTTAGCCTCCCAAAGTACTGGGATTACATGTGTGAGCCACCATGCCCAGCCTGAAGTTAGTAACATTTTAGAACAGCACCATCCAAAAGAAATATAATGTAAGCCATGAATACAAAATAGGTATTTTAAAATATTGTTTCTCGGCTCATATCTGAGTCATGGCACCAAAAAAACAAGTTGTTTCCACATTATAGAAGAAAAATAAGTGAAATTAATTTTAATATAGTTATTTAAATAGATCCAACATATTATTTCAACATATAACCAATTTCAAACTGCTAATCAAATATTTCACATTCTTTTCTTCTGTGGGTATTTTATATCTATAGCCCATCTCAATAAGGATTAACCACCTTTCAAGTGTTCAATAGCCACATGGAACTAGTGGCTACTATATTGATCAGAACAGTCTTAAAATGATGCAAAATAAAATGGAGTAAAAAATGAACAAGATAATGTCAAAAAGTCAATTGTAGGTCCATATATTAGCAACAAGCAATTGGAAATTAAAATTTTTTAAATTATTATGAACAATGACATTCAAAAGCACGAAATACTTAAGGATAAATTTAACAAAATATGTGCATGACCTTTTCATTAAATACTATTTAATACTGAAATGAGTATATAGACCATGTACATGTATTAGGAAATCAGTACTGCTAATATAACAGTTTTGATTGATCTATAAATCCCAATCAAATCCTAGTCAAAATTCTATCAAGCTTTTTTTTCTGTAGAAATTGACAAGTCAATTTTTAAATGTATGTAGAAATGCAAAGGACCTAAAATAGCCAAAAGAATTTTGACAAAGGAGAACACAGCTGGAGCACTTACTAGCAGCTGATATCAGGACTTACTACAAAGCTACAGTTATCAAGAAATGTGGTACTAGAGTAAGGATAGACAAATACCTTAATGGAACAGAAAAGAGACCAGAACTTTCTGTGATAGAAATGTTTCATATTTATGCTAGCCAATAAGGTAGACACTAACCACATGTGGCTGTTAAGCATTTGATATGGGACTAATGCAACTAAAGGACTTAAGTTTTATTTAATTTTAATTAGCTTTAAAAAGCCACATGTGGCTAGAGGCTACATGCTATTGGACAACACAACTCTAGAAGACATATCTCTAGTTAACAGAAAACAAATTGGTGGCTGGGGATGGTGGCTCACACCTGTAATCCTAGCACTCTGGGAGGCCGAGGCGGGTAGATTGCTCAAGGTCAGGAGTTCAAAACCAGCCTGAGCAAGAGCGAGACCCCATCTCTACTATAAATAGAAAGAAATTAATTGGCCAACTAATATATATAGGAAAAAAAATTAGCCGGGCATGGTGGCACATGCCTGTAGTCCCAGCTACTCAGAAGGCTAAGGCAGAAGGATTGCTTGAGCCCAGGAGTTTGAGGTTGCTGTGAGCTAGGCTGACACCATGGCACTCACTCTGCTGTAAGCTAGGCTGACACCACAGCACTCACTCTAGCCTGGGCAACAAAGCGAGACTCTGTCTCAAAAAAAAAAAAAAAGAAAATTGTTGGTTGCTAGGGATAACAGTGAGGATTGATGATGAAGGAGCACAAAGGAACATTTTGGTATGATGAGAATCAATACTATCATACTTTGTGGTGGTGGTTACACATGTATACATTTGTCAAAACTCATTAAATTGTTTTTTTTACTTTTTTAGAGATGAGGTCTTGCTATGTTATTGTCAAGGCTGGTCTCCAACTCTTAAGTTTAAGGCAATCCTCCTGCCTCCCAAGTAGCCAGGACTAGAGGCTTGCACCACCACACCCAGATAAAACTCACCAAATTGTACCCTGAAAATAGATACCATTATTCTTAAAAAAAAAAAAAAAAAAAGTCCTTTGAATAATGAAGTCTCAGTAATATTTTTTTAAAACATGGTAGAACAATCAATTTTAGATAAATACCTTCTTCTAAAAACTACAGCTAAACTTCCTGTAGCCTGCTTTAAATCTGTCCTCTCCTTTAGGTATAGAAATTCTACAGTGTGAACTATTATAAAAGTATTCTACTTATATAGATATCAGAATTTCTTAAAAAATAGAATTATCTGTGGTGGCTCACACCTGTAATCCTAGCACTCTGGGAGGCCGAGGCAGGCGGACTGCTAAAGGTTGGGAGTTTGAAACCAGCCTGAGCGAGACCCCCTCTCTACTAAAAACAGAAAGAAATTAATTGACCAACTAAAAATATATATACAAAAAATTAGCCGGGCACGGTGGCGCATGCCTGTAGTCCCAGCTACTGGGGGGTGGGGGGGAGTGTTGAGGCAATAGGATCACTTGAGCTCAGGAGATTGAGGTTGGTATGAGCTAGGCTGATGCCACAGCACTCACTCTAGCCTGGACAACAAAGTAAAACTGTCTCAAAAAAACCCAAAAACATAGAATAATCTATACAGGGAAAACAAAGTCTGTATGAGAAGGCAAATTGTTTCTTTTCACTTGGATCTCAACTCTAAGATGATCTTCTCAGAGAAACTGTCCCCATCTAAAGGAGCCCCTCCCTCTTATCACACCATTCTTTCCTTCATCACACTTACCATACTTCATAATCATCTGCATGTTTCTTTCTTTACCTATTTTGCTACATTAGAATGTATATAAACATTTTTTGGTAGAATTTATTTTCTTTTCCTTAAAGCACTATTCATCACTCACAAAACCTTATTTGAAAATGAAATTGCTCACTTGTATCAACCATCGATTTATATTCTAAGAGCTGTTGTTTTGTCTGTGCTCTCAACCTGAAAACAGATAAAAAGAATAGAAAGTCATATATTTATCTATTGAAGTTTTACTCATTACCATATTTATTGACAAACCAACTCATTTTTTTCAGAAGTTGATACAACAAAATGAGTATCAATAATTAAACACAGCATTAAAGTCTTTAAGTTTCACCTCACTTTATTTAAAATGAATATAAAGAACTTTGAGGCCTCAGACGAGACCCAAAATGAAATATAGCCAGAAAACCGCATCTATGAGGAAAAGTTAAAATTGGTTTTTAAATTTGTTCTTAATAGGCTAGACTGAAATGGGGCTGTATACAATACGAAGAAGAAATAGACCAAAACAATTCAACCCCAAAACACTGTAATTAGTTACAAACACAGACTGTGGCTGGGCGAGGCAATGCCTGCCTGTAGTTCCAGCTCCTTGGGAGGCTAAGGCAGGAGGACTGTTTGAGCCTAGAAGTTAATGGTTGCAGTGAGCTATGATGACCCCACTGTACTCTAGCCCCAGCAACACAGTGAGACTCTGTCTCAAAACAAAACAAGACACAACACAGATTGTATCAGGAGATACAGAAAAATAACAAAGATACTAATCCTTGGATAGATCAGGAATTCATATAGTTTCTTAGTTGTTCATTAAGTTGTATTTACAAAATATTTCATATCTGCATAATAGTTACATAATTCTGAAACTGTTTGCCTTGTGACTCTGGGGATCTATTTAAGTAGCTAAGAAACATTAGGCATATTTCTAAAACTTAATGGCAAGTTCCTTATGTTTCAAAATCCCAAATGAAAACAGTAATTTCTTAGAGATTAAGTAAGCTAGCATTCTATAAAACATGCTGAAAGAATAGTTCCTTTTTAGCTGCAATGGAAGACTTTTACCTTTACTATTTAAATATTTTATACGGTAGGCAGAAAGGAATTTTTAAAGTAAGGTTGTGAGGCTTATTTTTAGCCAAGGCCAACAGTCCCAAGTCTTAAAAAAAAAATCCTCTTGTAATGATTTTGCTTTTTTGCTGAAGAACCAAAGAAAGAATCCTGTAATGACTTAGAACAGAGGTTCGCAAACTTTTTCCGTAAAGGACTAGAGAACAAATTTTTTAGGCTTCGTGAGTCATACAGTCTCTGTTTTAACATATTGACTGCCGCGCTAGAAAAAAAAAGTTTTCCTTGGGGCCCCGGTGTTTTATGAAAATAGAATAAAAATTTTAAAAACAAAACACTGGGGGGGGGCGGGTATATACATACATAATGAGTGAGATGTGCACCATCTGGGGGATGGTCATGCTGGAAACTCAGACTTGTGGGGGGAGGGGGAAAAGGGCATTTATTGAAACCTTAAAATCTGTACCCCCATAATATGCCGAAATAAAAAAAAATCCTTCCTAATTTAATGAAAAATTTATTTTGTATTGTTTTCTGTGCGTTATATGCAATTAAATTTTCAATATTAATTGTAACTATAAAAACATCAACAAGATTTTCCCAAACCAACCGCATGGTTTTTGCCCAGGGGGCCACCCATCAGGTAACATGTATGCTACAGCAGGGCAGCGAGAGTTGCCTGCACACCACACGGCTCCCAAAGAGACATGTGAGTTACATATGCTTCTAGAGGCCCAAGGCTCAAAACGACCGTGAGTTAAATGCAACTCACATGGCAGTTAATGTAACTACTCAGTTTCGCCCTGTAGCAGGAAAGCTCTGTCCCAGGAAAACTTTGGAGGCAATGAAATTTGAATTTCATATAGTTTTCATGTGTTATGGAATATTCTTATGCTCTCCCCTCCCACCCCCCATTTAAACAAACAAACCTATTCTTAGCGTTCGTGGCCACACAAAAATAGGCAGTGGGACAGATTTGGTCCAGGGCCTTAGTTTTTGCTCACTGGTTTATAAGATTGATGTCTCTTCTCATCAAATCTTCCCTAGCAACTGATCAGTAGAAGAGCATAAGCAATGTGCCCTTAGTGGACTGTATGACAAGCGAAGCTTCTGGATTGCAATGGGTGATAGCGGTGAAAGAAATGGGCGGGCACCCTCCCCGCAGAAGCTCCGACTCGTAGGCTCCGCTCTTCCCGCCTGAAAACCGGAGCCCCAGGGCGCGAGGGGGAAAGACTGGGAGGGAACATTACCGCTCCCAAGGACTTGCTAAGGGCCCCGGGCACTGCGCTAAACATTTTCCTAGAGTGCCTCATTTAACCCGCACAGCCTCCTGCCAGGAGGGTGTCATTTTTCTCTCCTTTTTCGCAGGCGAAAAGAGGGCTTCGGGGGTTTAGGTCAGAGACGCAGTCAGGGAGCCAGTAAGAGATCGGGTCCGACCTCCAACCCCAGCCCTGGCGAGCAAACGGCAGAGCTCCGGGTCGCCACGCCCACTGGCCCCCGCCGCGGCGGCCAGAGGGAACAACCTGAGCAGCAGGGTCAAGCGGTCCTCGCTGCGCGCCTCCTGGGCGCCGGCGGCCTGGGGCGGCCCGCCTGCCCCTGCGCAGTCCGCGGGCTCGGGGGCGCCTTCTTCCTCGGGCTGCGTCTCCATCGCGGGCTAGGGCGACAGGCTAAACACCACTCGGGGAAGGCAGAGGCCGCTCGGAAACGGTCCGCTTTCCCGCCGCTAAATTGAGGTCCAGTACACGCCAAATGGACCCGCCCTTCCGCCTGGGGCCCCGCCCCTTCCGCCCTGTCCTTTGGTTGTCAGGGTTACCGACCGCCCTTCTCTTTCGTCGTGGCTCTACGGGTTAAAATCATTACTGACAGACAACTAGTGAAAAGTTCGAAGAACTTTCATTAAACGTCAGTTACCGGGTGCTTAGCTAGGGGCTGGCCTGGGGACGTTTGGGACAGTCCCCGACTCCCAGGAACAGCGGCCTGGACGGGAAAACTCCAGATCTAAATGGTTATTCAGCCTAGGCGCTGGGACACGGGAGCGCTGGGACAGCTGTTTGGCGATCCACCTTGGCACCCTCTTCCCGTCCGTGGCCTTAGAAAATGAGTGTGCCTAGCAGGCTAGTAAAGATAAATATCGGAGGGCTACTTAGACTTTTGATACGAACCCATGCGGTCCATACTCCTCGCTTAGCGGAGAAACGAATAGGTCAAGTTAGGGCTAATCATAGCCCCTGAAAGTACGAGGCAGTGCAGACACGTGAACACTACACTCCCAGCGTGGCGACATCCACGGACTTTCCATTTCTTGCCTGGTACTTCATTCTGCTATCAGTATAATTGGCACCATTCGTATCTATTCGTGCCCCTCGGTGTCTGCTTTGCGATTTGGCAGGTTGCCATTGAGCTTTCTTAGCTGTACAATGAGCAGGGGGAAATGGAAAAAATGCAGGACAAATAAATAAGTGCCTGGTTTATTTGTAGTTTTTTATTATAGTCGGTGGCGTAAAGGTCACTGTGACCTTGCGGCATAAGTATAGCAGACACAGCAGCTGGAAGGAACTTCTTTGAACCAGAGCCGAGAATTCTTTTACTGCTACAGTTTCCCTAGTTAAACTTGATCATATAGTGCTGTTTTCCTCCCATCCATTATCAAAGTACTATGGCTCATGGTAAAAGTTCAAAAGGCATAGTATGTAAAATAAGACGTTAAGTTCTCTACTCCTACACCCAAACTCAGGAACATTTTGTTTCATTGTTTTATAAAAAAGTGATACTGTTGTTCTCTTAACTTTTTCACTTTGCCACTTATTGTGGAGACCTTCCACTATCTCCCAATCATACCATCCTTTTAAGCAGTTAGTTGCCTATCAGGTGTCCATTGGCCAAATTTGGGACAAAAGTAATACAAAGTTTCTCTAACCGGAGAATGCACCAGAATTACAGGGAGGGCTGGTTAGAATAGATTTCTGGGCGCCTCTAGGATTCTGATTTGCATATTTCTAACAAGTGCCCAGGTAAAGTGCCGTGTTTCCCCGAAAATAAGACAGGATCTTATATTTATTTTTCCTCAAGAAGACACCCTAGGGCTTATTTTCAGGGGATGTGTTATTTTTTTTAAGTACAGTACACCCTCTACATTTATTCAAATATAGTTGTCTTCTTCTGGAACATCATCATAACTCTCCAAACCTTGAATTCCATCCTGAATTTCTTGTGACTCTGTTTCCTTTAGAACCACTGGCCAGGACCTGAGCAGGGGAAGCCAACCTTGTTGGTGGGGCTGCCCACATCTTTCTGGTCACCTCTGGGATAGTAGCTGTCACAATGGAGCAGATGAGAAGGGCTACTCATCTTTACCGCTCCATGACAAAATGCATGAGTTGTGCAGATACGATGTGTAGCCACTCCCATCACTAGGTCTTATTCTCAGGGTAGGGCTTATATCGCACAAATGCTTAGAAATCTTGCTGGGGCTTATTTTATGGGTAGGTCTTATTTCAGGGAAACATGGTAGCTGTTGCTGATGGGAACAACAGTTTGAGAACCACCACCATAATGGGTCATAAGACATGGAATTTTTTAAAAACAAATCCACTGAATCCACAGTATAACAAAACAGAAAAGGGTGGGTGTGGGTAGGCAGTTATTCTTTAGAAAGTCCAATAATAAATAAAGAGATGACAGAATTGAAAAACTACCATCATGCCACCCCCAGTGAGTAGCTGGGACTATAGGCGCCCACCACCACACCCAGCTAATTTTTGTATTTTTTAGTAGAGCCGGTCTCACTCTTACTCAAACTCCAGCCTCAAGCAATGGCCTCGGTAAGTGCTAGGATAACAGGCCTGAGCCACAGTACTGGGCTGAAATTTACCTTCAAATAGCTCTGGGAATAAAGGGGAAATATCCACGTATGTGCACACACACATTAAAAAACACCCCCTGCTGCTGGGCATGGTGGCTCACGCCTGTAATCCTAGCACTCTGCGAGGCCGAGGCGGGCGGATTGATCGAGGTCAGGAGTTCGAAACCAGCCTAAGCAAGAGCGAGACCCCGTCTCTACTATTAAATAGAAAGAAATTAATTGGCCAACTAAGATGTATAGAAAAAAAATCAGCCGGGCATGGTGGTGCATGCCTGTAGTCCCAGCTACTTGGGAGGCTGAGGCAGAAGGATTGCTTGAGCCCAGGAGTTTGAGGTTGCTGTGAGCTAGGCTGACGCCATGGCACTCACTCTAGCCTGGGCAACAAAGTGAGACTCTGTCTCAAAAAAAAAAAAAACACCCCCTGCTGCCAGGGCGCGGTGGCTCCCTGTAATCCTAGCACTTTGGATGTCAGAGGTGGGAGGATTGCTTAAGCTCAGGAGTTAGAGACCAGCCTGAGCAAGAGGGAGACCCCTCTCTACTATAAATAGAAATTAATTAATTGGCCAACTAAAAATATATAGAAAAAATTAGCCAGGCATGGTGGTGCATGCCTGTAGTCCCAGCTACTTGGGAGGCTGAAGCAGAAGGATCGCTTGAGCCCAGGAGTGTGAGGTTGCTGTGAGCTAGGCTGACACCAGGACACTCTAGCCTGGGCAACAGAGTAAGACTCTGTCTCAAAAAAAAACACAAACAAACAAAAAACAAAAACAAAACAAAACAAAAGAAAACCACCCCCTGAGATGAGGGCTTGCTTTAGTAAAAAATAATAATAAAAAAATACCTTTTGTCTCTCTATATATACTCATATTCACCTATATAAATTGATAGAACTTTGTCCCCTATAAGGAAATAAAATCCTTTTCCGTGTCTATGGAGTATTTACAGAAGTCAATCAAGTATTAGCCACAAAGAAAACATTAAAAGCTTCAAAAGGTGCCTTCTTGCAGCCAATGTGGTGGCACACGCTTGTAAACCCTTGTTTTTTTTTTTTTTTTTTTTTGAGACAGAGTCTCGCTTTGTTGCCCAGGCTAGAGTGCCATGGCATCAGCCTAGCTCACAGCAACCTCAAACTCCTGGGCTCAAGCGATCCTTCTGCCTCAGCCTCCCAAGTAGCTGGGACTACAGGCATGCGCCACCATGCCCGGCTAATTTTTTATATATATATCAGTTGGCCAATTAATTTCTTTGTATTTATAGTAGAGACGGGGTCTCGCTCTTGCTCAGGCTGGTTTTGAACTCCTGACCTTGAGCAATCCGCCCGCCTCAGCCTCCCAAGAGCTAGGATTACAGGCGTGAGCCACCGCGCCCGGCTTAAACCCTTGTTTTTTAGACAAAAAAACCCCCAAAAATGTGCCTTTTTATAGGCCACATCTTTAATGAAATTAAAAATCACTAACATCAAGATATCTGACATCTACCTTCCAAAGGACTTTGGAAACAAGTTATCTCAGTGGAAAAGGTATATTATAAATGCTTTATGATTAAAATATAGAAAGTATTTAACAAACTAGAAAATAAAAGGCAGATGATGAGAAATAATGTAAATGCTAAAACCACAAAATAAGTCGTAGAAATGATAACAGCACAAAACTAGTTCTTTCAAAAGACCAATAAAACAACCCCCTAGACAAGCCTGATTAGAAAATAGAAGTATTCAACATCAGGAGAAAGAAGATACATGAACTATACTTCAGAAGAAATTATATCACATACTTCTATAGCTATAACTCTAAAAATCTAGAACAGATGGTTTTCTATCAACATTGAGGAGGAAAATCCCTAAAAGAACAATTAGGTAGTATAGGGGAAAAAAAGAAATTCCTAAGAGACTAAAAGACCATGGAATATCTACCATTTTAAACAGCTCCAAGCCAAATGACTTTACAGTTTAATTTAGCCAGTTTCCAATGAATGAATGAGGATTTCAAATTATTTAAGGCTTTAATTTTATTTTTTGAGACAGAGTCTTACTCTATTGCCCAGAGTAAATTGCCCTGGCTTTAGCCTAGCTCACAGCTACCTCAAACTCCCGCGCTTAAGTGATCCTCCTGCCGCAGCCTCCCAAGTGGCTGGGACTACAGGCACATACCATGTCCAGCTAATTTTTCTATTTTTAGTAAAGATGGGGTCCAGAACTCCTGACCTCAAGCAATCCTTCTGCCTTGGCCTCCCATAGTGCTAGGATTATAGGCATGAGCCACCGCATCTAGCCTATTTAAGGCTTTAAAAAGATGAAAATGTCTCTAATGCACCTTAAAGCTAGTAAAATAAGAAAAAAACCAGACAACAGTAGCAACAAAACCAAGCCAATTTCCTACGTGAGCTGAAAATATTTCTAAATGAAAAATTAGCAGATTAAATCTATATACCGTGAGTGCTAGGAGCAGTGGCTCATGCATGTCATCCTAGCACTTTGGGAGGTGGATCACTTGAGGTCAAGAGTCCAAGACCAGTCCAGGTAGTAGTGAGACCCCCATCTCTACAAAAAATAAAAAATTAGCTGCATATGGTGGTGGGAGCCTGTAGTTCCAGCTACTCCAGAAGCTGAGGCAAGAGGATCACTTGAACCCAGGAGTTTGAGGTTAAACTGAGCTCTGATGACAACAACTGCACTCTAACCTGGGAAACAGAGCCAGCCCAGAGTCTCAAAAAAAAAAAAAAATCTATATAACTTGAGCAAGAAACTCATGTACTGTAGGAAACCAGTGGAATCTAATATGGAGTATTATATCAAATAAGAGAAAAACTAAGATATCACATGCTGAAAAAGTTAATGGAATTACACAGTCTTGCCTATTAAAAACTCCACACAGGAAAAGGAAATATCAAGACTACGTTAAATCCGGGCGAGGTGGCTCACGCCTGTAATCCTAGCACTCTGGGAGGCCGAGGAGGGCGGATTGCTCGAGGTCAGGAGGTTGCGATAACCGAGCTCGAGCAAGAGCGACACCCCCCCATCTCTACTAATATTAGAAAGAAATGGCGCATGCCTGTAGTCCCGGTTACTTGGGAGGCTGAGGCAGGAGGATTGCTTGAGCCCAGGAGTTTGAGGTTGCTGTGAGCGAGGCTGACGCTACGGCCCTCACTCTAGCCTGGGCAACAAAGCGAGACTCTGTCTCAAAAAAAAAAAAAAAAAAAAAAAAAGACTACGTTAAGATCAACAGCAAAAATATTAAATGGTAAAAATACTAATGATATACAATCAATTCAGTTAAGACAGGAATCCACTATTACCACTGATTAGTTTGGAGATTCTAATATAATAAACTAACATAAACATTGAAAATAAACAAAACTTTTAGATTTAAGGCCTAGGAAAATCTCCACTAAAAACTACTCTCCATAACAATGGCATGGGTTAGAAAAAACTACTCGAGTAAGAGAATCGATAATTAAAATATAACTAGCAATAAAAATAGAATTTAGGTCACGGACCAGGTAGCAGAGAAAAAATAGATTAAAAAATTAAAATAGAAGAAATATATCCTATTCACATTAGCAACAGAAACCATCCAGGAATAAACTTGACAAAAAAATTGCAGAATTATATATAATTAAATTCTAACATTGTATTGAAGGGCATGCAACAAGGCTTGATGGAGAAAAATGTTTCTAAATGGGAAGACAATGTCAGTCCATCCCAAGATAGTATATAGTGGACTATATATATATGTATATAATGTACAGTCAAAATCTCAAAGGAACTGTATTCAGTGCAGTCACATGCTATACATGTTTGTAGCCTAGGAGCAATAGGCTATACAATTCTAAAGTTTATATGTAAAAGTATTTGGTAATGTCCCCAAATATTTGAAAGATAGTGGTGAGCCTTATCTTACCAGATAAGCTGGTAAAACTATTACTGTAAACTATTTTATTATCGTAGAAAAAACAGATCAGCGAATAATAGGTAAGCATTCAAGATATTTCAAGTTGGACAAGGATTTTAATCATATAGTACTAACATAAATGGGTGTCTTTCTTGGAAGTAAGAGTCCTACATCATACCACACATAGAAAGTTTAATGAAAGATTATAGATCTAAATGGGAAAAATTAAGATAAAATTTTAGAAAACATTCTTGGTTTTGGGATAGTTGATCTTAAGACTGAAAATCCAAAAGCAGCTACAGAAAAAATAGGTTTGATTGTATGAAAACTTAATATTTCTGCAAAAAACAAAGGGCAAATAAAAAATTGGGAAAGCATTCCACATAAGTAGTTAATAGTTTATTTGCAATTCATTCATATGATAAACACTTGTTTATCCTAAATCTATTTAAATCTAAAAAACCCAACCAAAAAATTTAACTTGCCAGAAGTTAAATTAAAATAGCAAATGAGAGAATGTTTTTTGCCAGTTGGATTCAGAGATTGAAGACTGATTACTTTCAGTTTTAATAATGCAGAGAAAATTGGCACTTTTGTACATTACAAGTCATCTGGCTCTGTCAGAACTTAAAATGCACATATTCTTTGGGGAACCTAGCATACATAAAGAAAAGCATGGTATAAAATGACAATTTTTTTTGAGACAGTCTTGCTTTGTTGCCCAGGCTAGAGTGAATGCCATGGCATCAGCCTACCTCACAGCAACCTCCAACAACTGGGCTCAAGCAATCCTCCTGCCTCAGCCTCCCAAGTAGCTGGGACCACAGGCATGCACCACCATGCCCAGCTAATTTTTTCTCTATATATATTAGTTGGCCAATTAATTTCTTTCTATTTACAGTAGAGACGGGGTCTCACTCTTCCTCAGGCTGGTCTCGAACTCCGAACTCCTGACCTCAAGCAATCCACCTGCCTTGGCCTCCCAAAGTGCTAGGATTATAGGCGTGAGCCACCGCACCCGGCCAAAATGATAAAATAAATCATTGTCTTGGGGGGGGGGGAGCTGCCTGAATATCAAGAGCAGAATGGTTGAACACATTATAGTACAGTCATGTGTCACTTAACAATGGCGATATATCATTAGAAATGCATCATAGAGAATATCATCATTGTGCCAACATCAGAGTGTACATAACACAAACCTAGATAGTATAGCCTACTACAGAGTTAGGCTAATATGGTATAGCCTATTGCTCCCAGGCTGCAAACTTGTATAGTATGTTGTTCTACTGAATATTGTAGGCAATTGTAACAAAATGGTCAGTTATTTGTGTATCTAAACATAGAAAAGATACAGTAAAACTTCAGTACCTTAATCTTTTGGGACCACTGGGTTGTTGTATATGTAGTCCACTTTTCACCAGTCTTTACTTTTCAGAAAGTCAAAGATTACTATGTATCTGTACTATGTAATGTGATGCACAAATACAGGTAGGCCTATACACATTGAAAGAAACAGCTATGTATGGCTGGTCCGAAGGTAGTGAGTTATCTCACGTGATTGTTCACAGTCAGTTACAGATTGAACTCCTTGTTCTACTACTTTCCCCCCTCCTCACTACTGCACTTGACTAGTCTAAAAAAAAAAAAAAAAAAAGAAACAGCTATGTATACAGAAGGAACCTTTTTGTAAAAATCCCCAGAACAATTTATATGCTTGCCCCTATTTATATAAAACATGGAAGGATAACATCCCAAACTATCAGTGTTGCTGAGGTAGATGTGACTTAGAAGAGAGTAAGAGGGAGGTAAATTAATTTTTAAAAAGATACCTTTGCATTTGTTTTGAGCATCTTGTTTTATTTTCTTAACCAATACACAAAAATATAAAATGAAAATTGGGCATAGAATATAAATTATTTCTCATTTTTGAAAGTGAAAAATTTGAAAAGATACTAGGGTAAAGCTGTTAACTCAAGAAATAGTGGTAAAAGTAAATCACTTAGAATTATGGCAGCAACCACTAGAAGAAACAAAACAGGGACTTGGGATGAGGTGTTAGACTTTTACTTTAAAATAGAACTATGTAGCACATTCTTCAAGGTGAGTTGGCTTACATGTAGTATGCCCTATGCAAGTAAAAGGTTTTAAATACCTTCACCCCACCTTAATACCTCATATTAATAAAGTAAAAGCCAGGTACATAAAACAAGAACCAAGGGTATAAACATAAACAATTATATACATCAATTGGGTCCTCAGGTAAACTGAAAGCAGCTTTTAAAATTATTCCCCGCTATACTTTTTAAGACAATTTTAGGTTATCCTGGAGTAGGAAGTAACCACATTCAAATGAGTTAAGCTATAAAAAGTAAAAAGGGCCACAAGCTTTATTAAAAGTAAATGCAACATTATATTATGTACAGACGGCACATGGTGCCAATTTTATTTGCAGATAAAGTACTCCAAGTTTACAAGTTACACCTTTGCCACAGCCTTGGCTAAGTCTTGTACTAGTGTGGAATTCAGCTGTGCTAGAGTGCTGATCTTAGCATGCTTAGATGTGGCATACTTATTCTTGATAGTCTGGAAGAGAAGAGCATAACCATTAAAAAGGAAAACAACAAAAAAACAAATCACAAGACCCAATGGTACAAATAGTCAATTAAAACATCCAACTCCTTAAAAATAAACTCTGCATTTGCAGGCATGAAGTCTGAATTATTTTTTAACATCTTACAATGCCACCAAATAGACTCACCATGTGCTTTGTAAGCCCTCGATTTACCACAACTATATTCTTAGCCAGGTGCTGCATAACAGGAAGAAGGGATTCTTCAGTGTATGATAGGTAATGCTGTAGAGTTGGTGTCTAAGACAACAAAAGTTAATGTTAAAAATGCTCAATTGCCCCCTTAACATTTTGAAATTAAAAAAATAAAATAAAAATGCTCATCAACAATTTTTGGCCAGGTGTGGGTGGCTCACGCTTATAATCCTAACACTCTGGGAGGCTAAGGCAGGAAGATCACTTGAGCCCAGATGTTTGAGTTTGCAGTGAGCTATGTCTCAAAAAATAAAAAATAAAAATGGTTTTCATAAAATTTCTAGGTGTTTTTTAAGAGTTGGGTGAGAAGATGAGTAATGTACAACTTAATTAAAATTTAAGTCAAGCTTAAGACACCTCCTTCCCCAGGTACTTTCATGCTTCTGAAGGAAATGTGCTCAAACCTAATTATATCATTGTCCACCCTAAAGCTGGACTTCAAGTTCCTTGAGGTCAACTCTCTTAGTCATAGTTCTCTTTCTAGGGCCTAGCATAGTTCCTAGAACATAGGAGAAATATTTGTCGAATCAATGATTAAGAATGAACTTCTAACATATCATATGACCTGCTTGAGAGTTTCTCCATATGTAAGGAGTATTAGCTGCCCTACTTCTCTCAAAAGGAATAAAGATGAAATTAGGGTAAATAAATGAAAGCATTCTATGCAGACATCACAAAAAAGGTGTCATTTTTGACCATTCCTTCAGAAGATTCCATATTTAGGAACCATTTGAATTGTCCTTTAATGACAAAATTTCTGTATTCAGTCAAACACCATTTGTAATTTAAAAGCTTGGTAGGCCAGGCACAGTGGCTCATGCCTATAATCCCAGGCTGAGGCAGGAGGATTGATCACTTGAAACCAGGAGTTTGATATTACAGTGAGCCATCCCACCACTGCACTCCAGTCTGGGTGACACCAGACCCTGTCTGTCTTAAATAAAATATAAAAGCTTGGAAGTTTTGTGGGACACAGCTTACCCATTCACCATTATCCAGAATCTTCAATGCTAAGCAAAAAGCTCCTGCTGCAATTTGAGAAGGAGGAAAGTGCACCATATCATAGTCCAACATAGTTAGTTCCATCAGGTATTTGGCCAAAGTATGTTGTTCAACATCAACCTGGAACAAAACCCACAGAACACTGAGCTTCTTTCCAAGAATTTTACATTGGCACTAACCTGCATACCACATCTATAACTATAAATGTTTGTCTACAACATCCCACAGTTGCCTGTGGAAGGCCCTAATAATATTAATATGCAGCCTGACTGAAAATATTAAAGAATATCTTTATCACTTCCTCATGTTGAATTAGACCTGCTTGGTCAGCAGCAGTGTTCCCTAATATACCATACCAAAAGTTTCTCAAGAAACCCATACCTCTCCAATCTTAGATGCTCTCCGAAGGAAGTGCAGGGGTAGAGGCCGACCCAGACCGAAGTTTAAAGCTCTTAGAATCTTCATTTCCATCTGTCTGATTTGGTGTTTAGTGTAAGTGTTGTCAGTCACAAAAGCAAAGTCACCAATTTCTGGAGGGTACATTTCTTCATATTTGCTTGCAATAAACATGGCAGTGACACCAACCAGTTGCAGCATCTTCTTGGGCACACAATTATTCTACAATGGGAATTTCAACTGAATAAGTAATATGTATTTGCAAAGGAGACATAGAGCTATTAAGGAGAGGTGTCTTTCCTAAGGAAAGACACTCACAAAGTAAAATCTCAACTAATGGCACCCTATCCCCTGAGACAGATTTTAGCTGAAAAAAAAAATCATTTTCTTTTTTTTTGAGACAGAGTTTCACTCTGTTGCCCGGACTAGAGTGCCGTGGCGTCAGCCTAGCTCACAGCAACCTCAAACTCCTGGGCTCAAGCAATCCTCCTGCCTCAGCCTCCTGAGTACCTGAGACTACAGGCATGCGCCACCATGCCCAGCTAATTTTTTCTATATTGTCAGTTGTCTGGCTAATTCCTTTCTATTTTTAGTAGAGATGGGATCTCGCTCTTGCTCAGGCTGGTCTCAAACTCCAGGCCTCAAGCACTCCTCCTGTCTCGGCCTCCCAGAGTGCTAGGATTACAGGCATGAGCCACCATTCCCGGCCAAAAAAATCATTTTCTTATGACTCAGGACTCTGAAAAGGAGCACCCTCAATTACTAAATTATGCGCACCTGCATGAACCGATCAATAATGGAAACAGTCATGTACATGGTCTCCTGCAGCAATCGGAATTTCATTTGAACCTGTACTAGCCAGTCAATCAGGATGGCTCTCATGTTTCCAGTGACTTCCTGACCCAGTAGGTATTTTGGTCTAACTGCTTGCTCTTCCTGCAAAAGAGAATGCCAATTATCTTTAGAAGCAAGACTCCATGTGATATTAAGTCCAGAAAGATCACTTAGTTAATACAAAATAGCTCTGGGGCATTTAGAATCTTTAACAGTTCTTAATTCAATTATTCATATGGTCACTATAAACAGCACCATTACTAGGAAAGAAAGAGAACATTACAGTGTGACAGGTTTTCCATATTGTCAAATCTTATGTTCAATTCACCACAACTGCTGCTGGCCCACACTCGGTATCCAATTCTTCCTAAATAAAGATACCATACTAACATCTCAGATCTTTTCACTTAAGATTCTAAACCCAGAATCTGAGCTTTGTAGAGAAAATATCAGTAACTACCAGATCAGCTGGAACTCATGCTACCACACTCCTGCCTGCTCCAGGGTATAAACCCCAACATAACTAAGAAGAAAAACAAGCCATCAAGAAATAGCATATACATCATATACATTTACTAAACTACATCCTCCAAAGTTAAAATACAAACTTGACAAAGCACAAACAAAAAAACTAACCAAAAAAACAAAAAGGGAGGAAAAGCTGGTCCTGTCAAAGTCTGCTTGAGGATTCTGTAGAAAATGGAGAGGCCCAAAAGGACCAAGTAGGAGACTGATGTAAATGACATAACACAATGCATTAGAAACAAATGGGTAAATCTGAAAACTGTATAATTTATGTTACTATATAGAATGCTTTCTTGTTTGGAGGTGGGGGGAGGTCAAATGCCATTAATAGAAAGTTTCAGAAGTGGTACAAATTTGAAGAAAATCAAAAACTTAACTTTTTGAGTGTACTCCTTTTTTGTACATAATTCCCTTGCCAACTGCATGCACATCAGCCATACTGACACAAAATGCCTTGTCAGGGGTGGCTATAGTCTTTTACCATCTTCTATATACCCATCTACTTCCTGCCTTATTATCCCCCTTAAATCCAAAGTTTGGACTTACCCACTCCAAACTGTGATGGGGATACATACATACACATACACACACCAATCATTCAATCTGTGGACTTTCCTTTACCAAGAACCGTAACAATATCCACCCTAACTTTTTTTTTTTCCACACAGGGTCTCACTTTGTTGCCCAAGCTGGAGTACAGAGGCCTCACCACAGCTCACTACAACCTCAAAAGCAAGCCTCTGCCTCAGCCTGTCAAGTAGCTGAGAATACAGGCATTTGCCACCACAACCAATTTTTCTTTTTTTTGTAGAGACAAGGTCTTGCTGCTCTATGTTGCCAAGGCTGATCTTGAACTCTTGATCTCAAGTGATCCTCATGTCTCAGCCTCCTAGAGTGCTCAGATTATAGGCGTGAGCCACCATGCCCAGCAACAACCATCCTACTTTTGAACTTTCCTGTTCAAAGTGGAAAACAGATTGCATTGGTTTGATTAGTGACTTTTCATTTTTGGTATTCTATGAAGAATCTGAAAGTGCAATCTAATAAATGCTGCCCACATCCTACGTGAATTATTGTAAACTGTTGATAGAAAATCTTTAATAAAGTTGGATATAGTTTAGAAAAAACATAGACTTTAATTATAATACTGACCTCAAGTTGTCTCAGGTAAGCATAAATATCCTTCACATATTCACTACATAGGTTTGGATCAGCTCCATCTTCTGCATCCACATCACTCACTGCAAGAATTACATCAGAGAAAGCCTGACACAGATATTCTTCTGCAGGGGCACATCCAGATGTTTCCATTGGACTTGGAGAGGGAGTATCAACCTTGAAACAGAGAGACCTCTTGAAACAACAGCAAAAAAGAGGACACACTATAGTTTGGAAATGAAGATCACATTAGTACCAACTCAAGAACCCATTCTGAATAAACATATAACTCATTTCTTATTTTTTTTTTTTTTGAGACAGTCTCTCACTTTGTTGACCAGGCTAGAGTGAGTGCCATGGCATCAGCCTAGCTCATAGCAACCTCAAACTCCTGGGCTCAAGCAATCCTCCTGCCTCAGCCTCCCCAGTAGCTGGGATTACAGGCATGCGCCACCATGCCCGGCTAATTTTTTCTCTATATATATTAGTTGGTCAATTAATTTCTTTCTATTTATAGTAGTGACAGGGTCTCGCTCTTGCTCAGGCTGGTCTTGAACTCCTGACCTCAAGCAATCCGCCCGCCTCGGCCTCCCAGAGTGCTAGGAGTGAGCACACTGTGTGAGCCACCGTGCCTGGCCTATAATTTATTTCTTTCAAGGAAAAGTAAAACAGAAGACAGAAGCAACCAAATTCATATTCTAGACTTTCCTCCAAAGGAAATAGGTAAGTACTATCTGTTTATCAGCAACATGTGAATTAATCTGAATGAATGACAACTCAGTCTTTAGTGTTTATTTCAAAACATGGACTGCTTCTCACAACTCAGAATATAAAAATTCTGTTGGAACTACCAAGGATTAACTGACTTCATTACCATTAACCATTTCCTTCAAGCTCCTTTTACCCTACTGTTCAAACATTTATCTAGCACTTTCTTCAGATCAAAATATGTGCTAGGCACCAACTTCATAGCATCCACAAGGGGCTTTGACTTTAGTAGTCAAAGTAGATAAAGTAATAAGATTGATTCTAGGAACAGGAGAGGAATGAGGAAAGTTAAGGAAAGTTTCAGGAGTTGACCCTTGAGCTATTTTGGAGGATGAAAAGGTTATTAGCTAAATGAAAGGGTGGGGAGGGCATTCTTAATGGGAAAGCAAAGGCAAAAATGAGTATAGAATGTTTCAAGAAAGCCTCATGTAGTTTGATATGCCCAATTAAAGACTATGCAGGCTACATGTTTCATGTGCTATGCCCAGAAATTCAACACCAAAGCAATAGCCTTTAATCTCTTATCCTTAGATGTAAGAATCTAGACTGAATTAATACTACAGCTAATTTTCCAACTGGTTTTAGCCAAGTTTTAAAAATTAGAGCTTCAGACTGGGTGTGGTGGCTCGTGTCTGCAATCATAGCATTCTGAGAGGCCAAGGCAGGAGGATCCTTTGAGGTCAGAAGTTTGAGACCAGCCTGAGCAAGAGCAAGACCGTCTGTACCAAAAAAACAGAAAAAACTAGACGGTGTTGTGGCGCATGCCTGAAGAGTTACTCGGGAGAGGCTGAGGCAGGAAGATTGCTTGAGCCCAGGAGCTTGAGCTACATTCTTTCTGCTTCACTCCTTTACATATTCCAATGTTACAGGCTTATTTAGTGGCCACATTAGGGAGTTAAAGATTGAAGAGAACACTCTTTCTGTGTTTCAGTCAATAAATTATGGATAGGCAGAGATGGCTTGTACTTGGACAACAAAACTTTGGCTCAGGGAGCTAATACTTAATACTATTAACAAAGGAGGTAATATAAGAATGCAATTAAAAGCATAGATTCTCGGCCGGGCGCGGTGGCTCACGCCTGTAATCCTAGCTCTCTGGGAGCAGGGGGGGGGCGGATTGCTCGAGGTCAGGAGTTCAAAACCAGCCTGAGCAAGAGCGAGACCCCGTCTCTACCATAAATAGAAAGAAATTAATTGGCTAACTGATATATATAGAAAAAATGAGCTGGGCATGGTGGCGCATGCCTGTAGTCCCAGCTACTTGGGAGGCTGAGGCAGGAGGATTGCTTGAGCCAGGAGTTTGAGGTTGCTGTGAGCTAGGCTGACGCCATGGCACTCACTCTAGCCTGGGCAACAAAGTGAGACTCTGTCTCAAAAAAAAAAAAAAAAAAAAGCATAGATTCTGAAGCCAAACACACTGGGCTTGAATCCCATATGTGCCACTTAACTGTGTAACCCTAACTTAAAACTTCTCTAGGCTGGCGCAGTGGCTCACACCTGCAATCCTAGCATGCTGAGAGGCCAAGGCGGGCAGATCGCTCAAGGTCAGGAGTTCGAGACCAGCCTGAGCAAGAGCGAGACCCCATCTCTACTAAAAATAGAAGGAAATTAGCTGGACATCTAGAAATATACAGAAAAAATTAGCCAGGCATGGTGGCGCATGCCTGTAGTCCTAGCTACTCGAAAGGCTAAGGCAGAAGGATTGCTTGAGCCCACGAGTTGGAGGTTGCTGTGAGCTAGGCTGATGCCACGGCACTCTAGACTGGGCAAGAGAGTGAGAGAAATTCTGTCTCAAAAAAAACAAACAAACAAAAAAACACCTTCTCTAAAGCCATTATCTAGAAAGTAGAGGTACAGTCATTAATAACTCACCTAATCTGCTCTCTACCTCAAGTTAATGTATGTAAAGTGCTAAGTGGAGCCTGACTCACGCTAAGCACTCAAACAAATTTTAAGTGTTTATTCAAATGTTGTTGCATGCATCAGTAAAATGAGGGAAAACAACAGACTCTAAAATGCTAAAAATAAGTTTACCAAAATAGGCTCAGGCGAAAGTTTTTCTTCTTTAAGAGGCTCAGGTTCGGGCTCTGGCTGTGGCTGTGGCTGTGGCTCAGGCACCTTTTCCAGAGGTTTTGGTAGTTTTTTAGCAATAACTTTTCCAGTAGCTAAAGTTTTTGCTTCCTGTAGAGGAAACAGAGAATGGAATGTTTCTGCATCAAGGGTCACAGTGTGAAGATGGGCTCTTACAAAGAACTTGGATAAGATAGATAGTTACTAGTTACCTTTTTCAGAGGCATTTTGGCCTGCAGCTGGTCGCCGACTTTGTTACCAATGTCTCCAAGAGCTGTTCTTGGCCTCAGCCCCGGCTTGGAGGCTGCAGCAGTGGCCACAGGCACACGCTTTGCGCCTGCCATACCGATCTTCGCCTTATTTTCAGCATTAGTTTTCATGTTCTGAAAGAAGCAAGACCACTTTAAGAGCTGGTCCAGGGAGACTCGAATGAGTCAAGGGTTAATTAAAGTGGGGAACAAGAGAGACTCCCAGAGGGAAAGACAACTAAAAATGGGTCCCAAGGGGAAACGTGGGTTCCAGAGCCTACTCTAAGGCCATGACAAGTCAGTTACCTCTCAGAACCTCTCACACCACCTATTGAGGGATTTCCTGTGAAGGTATGGCCATTTCTAAAATACCGAGAACTTACATTTTAAAGGAAACCGAAAATGCCTCTGATTGCAGACGCGTTCTTTCTGAGGCTAGAGGGCTCACTCCGGGGCCCTCCACTACTTTTTAATACGGTTTCCAGTCGACTTCCCCCCTCCCCCACCCCGCCACATTTACCCGAGATACATCCAGTTTCCTTTCTCACCTTCCTCCCTCCGTCCGTCAGCCCCCAAACTCCCCACCATGCCAGGCGCCCACCCCGGCGCTCTCTCGGTGACCCTCCCTCACACCCTCCTGAAATCGCGGCGGCGGCCCTCTCCCGCGCTAAGGGTTCCCGCAGGCGAGAAGGCATGCAGCGAGGAAGGCCGCGTTTGTTCCCAGCCCGCAGCGGCTTACCCTGGTGACCCGGAGCGCCATGGCTTCCTGTTCACCAGACAGCAACTCAGCGGGGAGAAGCACAACACCGCAGCACCAGACCAGCGGAGGCCTTGAACCACCGCAGATCAACAGCCGTTCCTCCGCAGCACGCCAGGAGGAGCCGGCCCCGCTTCGGGTTTAAACCCCGCACCGCTCCCTCCTTATTGGCCTGTTCGAGGCACTCGCTCCCTTTCCATTGGCGGCTGCCGGTTCCGGAGAATGCGTTTCCAGGGCGATCCCGCGAAGGCATTCGAGAGGGGCGGGTCCAGAGTGAGGCTGCGCACTGGCGGCGCCCAGCCAGGCCCTCACGTGGTCTGACTCCGCGCCTGCGCTCTTGGGCAGGTGCCCGGGTCACCTGAGAGGCGCGAGGAGATGTAAGGAGGCAGGCAGGAGGTGAGTGCGCGCCACCCACCTGGAAAGGCGAGAAACGCTCTCCTGTGAGCTGTGGGAGCCAGCCGAGGAGATGGCCTGTGGCCTTTGACAAGTGACGGTTATTAGGCGGCGGCAGTTTTAGAAATAAATGTGAGAAGCAGTTTGGGCTCTAGTTCAACTTACTGTTCACTTTACTCTTCTGCAAAGCAGCAATGTCTTACAGTTTATGAAAGGCCTAGATATACATTCTTTCATTTGGTCATTCCAGCAGCTTTCGGAGGCTTGGATGAGTCTGCCAGGATCACAAATTAGCAACGCGGGGACCAAATTTAGGGGTTTTGCGGAGAGGTGGGGTGGGGACCCATAATGTTTCCACAACACTGATTGTCCCTTAAGAATGTCACCTGCCGTTTGCTTCTGATTACTTCAAGATTAACCAGTTTCCCAAGGCCAATGGTTTGTTTTAGCTTTTTATTTGGAAATAATGTCATACTTAAACCAGTTGCAAACAAAAATATTACAGGCCATCTGTAGACCCCAGATTCACCTATCCTTAACGTTTTCACCCCATTGGTTTTGTCATTTGCTCAGTCTTTCTGTGGATGCAAAGAAAAACGAGAGGGCCCTTTCTGTTTTCTACCCCTCAAAACACACAAGGAACTCAGCAATTGGAGGGAAGGCAGAAGGATAAAAACACTGATATTCCATAGGCCATCTATATAAGAGGCAATAGAGACCTCTGGTGCTGGAAGTGAAGGGTACATACAGAAGGCAGCGCCCAATCATTTAGTTTAGGTGGATTATTATTTAATGTTATATCATCATAGTTCTTCCCTCCTACCTGGGTCCCTGCCATGGGGCCTTTTCCCTTGCTCTCCTATGCCTGGAATGTCCCCCCTCTTATTGCCTCTCATCCCCGGGGTTCTGTCCAGCTAACTCAAATTCGCCCTTTTAATTCTCTGTTTAATGTCCATCGTCAGTAAATATTCTAAGTTTGACGGATCCCTGCCCCATCTCTCCATGGCTGAGTGAGCATGGGAAATTTACTCATCTGTGTTCTGTTTTTTAAAATTAATTATTTTATGTTTATACACTTTATTTATTTTGAGGAAGAGGAAAGAGAAGTTTATTAGTTTGCCTTCAAATGAGGAGGGCCATGGACCAGTGTCTTAAAGACTATCATCTTCACACTTTTTTTTAGAGCAGTTTTAGATTCACAGCAGAATTGAACAGAAAGTATAGAGAATTTCACTTCACATAGGCACATCCTTCCCCACTATCAACATTTGACACCAGAGTAGTACCTTACACCACCACCAGTGGTAGGTTACAATCTGTGAATTTACATTAACACATCATTATTTCCCCAAATCCATAGTTTACACAGATTCCAGCTTGCTTTTTTGGGGGGAGAGGGATAGAGTTTCACTCTGTTGTCCAGGCTAGAGTGCATTGGCATCTGCCTAGCTTGAAGCAACCTCAAACCCCTGGGCTCAAGCGATTCTCCTGCCTCAGCCTCTGAGGTATCACTCTTGCTCAGGCTGATCTTGAACTCCTGACCTCAAGTGATCCTCCTGCCTCAGCCTCCCAGCATGCTAGGATTAGAGGTGTGAGCCACAGCACCTGTCCAAGGACTAATATTCTTAATGATCATGGTAAGTTTTGTGATGTTTATTTTTAATTTTTATGATTATATAATAGTTGTACATATTTATGGATGACATGTGATATTTTATATTGTTTTTTGTGTTTTGAGACAGAGTCTCCCTCTGTCACCTAGGCTAGAGTGCAGTGGTGCCATCATAGGACACTGCAACCGCAAACTCCTGAGCTCAAGCCTGCCTCAGCCTCCTGAAAAATTGGGACTACAAGTACATGCCACCATGCCCAGCTAATTTGTCTATTTTTTATATAGGCAGGGTCTCCCTATGTTGCTCAGGCTGGTCTGGAACTCCTGGCCTCAAGCAATCCTCCCACCTCAGTCTCCTAAAGTGCTAGGGTTATAGGCATGAGCCACTGTGCCAGGCTTGCAGATTGATTTTAAGAACAATTTTGTTTCTATGGTAAAATACCCTTATAAATTGATGATATAATATACTTTATGGTTTAAATTAAAGGAACTGGAGATTTGTCAATAGCCTCACCATTAGTCTATATTATGTTCTTACTCAAGGTGATTATTGACTAATCCTTAGTCAGTTGATATGTACTTTTACAGAGGATTCTACCTTGCTTCATTCTGGTATTATTGTTATAGTGCATAAGTTTTATTGACCACAAGAGGTCTCTGACTTTTTTCTCCTTACAATATTTGTCTAGCGGCTCCAGTTACAAGCTACAGATCCAAACTTGTCATCTCAAGGAAACATCAAGGCCAGGCACGGTGGCTCACGCCTGTAATCCTAGCACTCTGGGAGGCCGAGGTGGGCAGATTGCTCAAGGTCAGGAGTTCAAAACCAGCCTGAGCGAGACCCCGTCTCTACTAAAAACAGAAAGAAAGTAATTAACCAACTAAAAATATATATACAAAAAATTAGCCGGGCATGGTGACGCATGCCTGTAGTCCCAGCTACTTGGGAGGCTGAGGCAGTAGGATCACTTGAACCCAGGAGATTGAGGTTGCTGTGAACTAGGCTAACACCACAGCACTCATTCTAGCCTGGGCAACAAAGTGAGACCCTGTCTCAAAAAAAAAAAAAAAAAGAGTTAAACAATAAAATTAAAAAAAAGATTAAAAAAAAACTTCCTGACTTTTCTCCTTAGTGAACTATTTAATGTTCCCTCTCCTGACCAAATTAATAGTGCCAATTACATATGTGGCTAAGGATAGAGCTCTGAACAATACAGATGAGATCCCTGCTCTCATAGAACTTACACTACAGTAGAAAAGAAGTTAAACAAGTAAATAAATAAAATGAACAAATCAGATAGTACTAAGTGGTAGGCAGAGAACTAAAAGAAATTGATACAAATAGAGTGACTTGGTACCTACTTTAGACTTGGTGGTCAGGAATTGTCTCTGAGGAGGCGATGTTTAAGCTGAGGCTTAACAATAAGAAGGCAAACATTACTGGTAAAGGAAATAGCCTGTGAAAAACCCAAAGATAGGAATGAGCTTGTCATATTCAGAAAAGCCAAAGTGGCTAGAGTTATAGACAGGGAGTAGTAGATGGAAGAAATTGGGAAGGCTAAGAGTATACAAGTCCATGTAAACCAAGGTAAGGAGTCTGGCCATAATAAGTGCCAAGGAGAGTTGGAGGGTTTAAACCAAGGTCGTGACATGATCTGATTAATCTTTCAATAAGATTACATTAGTCACTATGGAAAGAATGTATGGGGCGGGGAGGATGAAGAGGAAGTGGGAGAAGAGAAGCAAGGGGTGGGGGGGCATGGGACTATTGTAGGAGGCCAGACAAAAGATGCTGGCTTGGATGGTACTAGTAGAGATGGACAGAAAGTGGTAGGCTCAGCATATATTTTGAAAGTAAAGTTGCTCGGTTTAGTGGCTTGCATGCTTGCAGTGAGAGAAATAAGGATCAAGGATGACTCCTGAGTTTTGGTTTGAGTAACTGAAATAGAGAAGACCAAGAGAAGACCAGCTTTTAGGGTGTACCACTTTTTGGATGGGCTACTAAGAATTCTGCTACATTTGGAATGCTTAGAAGTGTACAAGAGGAAAGGTCCAGGAGGCAGAGGTCAGGGTGGAAGTTGTAGTCTCCTTTTGCTGTAAATGGTATTTAAAGCCTGACACAGGTAAGGTCATCTAGGGAAGAAACATACAGAAGTGTAGATGTCCAGAAGCAAGCCCTGGGACCGTTCATGTTTAAAGATAGATCAGAGGAGGAAAAAACAGCTAAGGATATTGGGCAAGAACTCCAGGGAGGTAGGAGACCAGATCATGGTGTCTCAGAAAACAGAAAGCAGTGTTTCACAGAGGAACAATGGTTTAACATGCTTGAATACACACGTGTATCTCTGTTACTTCCTCAAGCCCTGCCAAAATGACAGTAAAGGGATTTTTGAAAAAAATGCATAAACCCTCAAGGATGGGTGAGGAAACAATAATGACAACATTTTAGAAACAGAAAAGCACTTTAAAAGGTTGTAATCAAAACAGCAAAGAAAGTTGAAATCTCAACTGGAAGTGGAAAGTTAAGAAGCAAGTTGATTCACACAATAGAACTCCAGCAAGTCTCAGGAGTTGGAGGCTCTAGGAGCCCATGCAATTGGTGGTAAAAGTGGAGTTGAAATCAGGATTGGCTGATTCCCTCCTGCACAACTGAGTGCACTGAGAGTGAAGCCTCTCCCTGTTCCTGGCAGATGACTGGAGGTTTATGTTCTGGAGTGGCTGACCTAAAGAGATTCTGGATTTTAGGAGACCAGGCAAGCTGAGGGGAGATGAAATGAAATTCTATGTACCAAATGGTGAGATCTCCAGTCTCTTTCTCTGACCTAGTCTCCCAAATGGTAGCAGCTGGACTTACATCTTTCTAAGTGAGATAAGAACATGCCTCCCTGGAGAATGCATCAACCCAAGAAAAAAGTTCTGAAAATATTGATGATTAGGAAGGATCTCCAATGGAATGACTAGGTCACCACTTGGTGACCCTTATAGTGAAGCTCACCCCTTGACATGTTTGCACACCGACACAGAGCAGCTGCTTTTTTTTTTTTTTTTAAAGACAGGCTCTCTCTCTTTTGACTAGGCTGGAATGCAGTGGTGCAAACATAGCTTACTGTAATCTCAAACTCTTGGTCTCAAGAGTTTGAGATTCCTGCCCAGCCTCCTGAGTAGCTAGGACTATCGGCATGTGTCACCATGCCAGGCTGACTTTTTTTCTTTTTGAGACAGTCTCACACTTATGCCTAGGCTAGA